TTTACAGTTTATGAACTCAGGGAGGGTCCCTTCTGAGCCTCTTGTTCCACCCCCTGTGCAGCTGGGGGGGGGGGAAATGAGGCTCCTTCCTTTCCCATTCCCTAGGCAGCATTTCTTCACCTGTCTCCAAAGGTCTTTCCTGTGTATCAGTGGTCTTATTCAAAGCAACAGTTTCATGGGCTGCTTCTTAAATATAGTATGCTACAGGGTCTCCTGCCTGAGCAGAGGGAAGGTTGGACTAGAAGACCTACAAAGTCCCTACCGAATAGGTATTTGTTCTTGTTTAGGTCTTTCTCTGTCAGGGTGTTTTTAGTACAATCTTCAGAATGAATCTTTGCTCCACAAATGACTAGGAACTCCTCCTAAAGTTAATGTGGCCAGCCTCAGCCATACTCTGTGTAGTGCTGCTAGGTCAGAAGAAAGTGAGCACAATTGGTTAAAATGCATTGGCTGCCCATTTCAATACTTTGTTATATTGGGGGTTGCAAAGAGGCAGCTGATCAGAAGCAATCTATTACATGATCAGCCATGATATCTTTTGCTAGGAAATTGAAGTGGTGAATCCCTTGAGAACCGAGAAGCAAATGTTTGCTTCTGAAACTTTCATTGGGCAAAAGGAAGAAAGAATGCAAAATGAGTGGCTGCAAATTTGGGATTTTCATATGGCTCTTTGGCAACAATCTTGTCCTTTCATAGGTGGTAGCCCGGCGCTCAGATCTCAAGCTGATCGTTACCTCAGCCACCATGGATGCAGAGAAGTTTGCGTCTTTCTTTGGAAATGTGCCCATCTTCCACATTCCAGGTCGCACTTTTCCTGTTGACGTTCTCTTCAGCAAGGTATGGGGATAATCAGAGGCCTGGACTCGGATGTTCAGCTGACAGCTGGATGAGTGCATCAGCCTCTTTTTTGCTCTTTCAGACTCCACAAGAAGACTATGTGGAGGCAGCAGTGAAGCAGGCCCTGCAGGTCCACCTCTCCAGTGCCCCTGGAGATATCCTCATTTTCATGCCAGGCCAGGAGGACATTGAGGTAAGTCCATCTGTGGGCGTGTTTAAGATCCTAGTCAGCCCCGTAATGCACATATATTCGCCTCACTTCGTCCTGCAGGTCACGTCTGAGCAGATTGTGGAACATCTGGAAGAGCTGGAAAATGCTCCTGCCCTAGCCGTGCTACCAATCTACTCTCAGCTACCCTCAGATTTGCAGGCCAAGATCTTCCAGAAGGTACAGCCTCCTGCCTTTCCACTAGTGACAATCTCGGATTTACTTAGCAATGGTAACTGGAAGCTTGAAGAGTCTATCACGGTTTCTGCCAAACTCAAAATTAGAATAGTTGGCAAGCAGCCTGATTTGCAGCAAAAGTGAGAGTCCTGGGAATAGATGGATTTTGTGCCATTGCTTGAGAAGTCAAACATCTTTCTCTTCTTAGGAAGTAGAAACTAGAAGCTTTTTGAGGATACAGGCCATTTCAATCAAAGGGATTGTTAAGCCTTTGCAGTACTTAGCTTCTGAAAGCAAAGATGCTGGAGTTAAAAGCCATCCCCTCAGGGCCTTTCCTTGGGGGAAGCTGAGTGTTTCAAAGTTGCTGATGAATTGGCAGCTGCATCTTGAAACTTGGATTCTTGGCAGGCACCAGATGGAGTCAGGAAGTGTATTGTGGCAACCAATATTGCAGAGACCTCGTTGACAGTTGATGGGATCATGTTTGTGATTGACTCCGGATATTGCAAACTGAAGGTAAAGGAAGCGTGCTTAGGGAACATGTAAAATCCTAGGGATGAAGCCCTGACTTACCCTGCTTACCCTACATCTCAGGTCTTCAATCCACGGATTGGCATGGATGCTCTGCAAATTTATCCAATCAGCCAGGCTAATGCAAATCAGCGCTCTGGCCGAGCCGGAAGGACAGGCCCAGGTCAGTGTTTCAGGTAGGACTTGTACGTATCCAAAGGGTCTCCTTGCAGTGAGAGGGTGCTGCAGTGAATGCTTGGTTGCAGCTGCCAAATCTGGTTCTCCTGCTGTGGCTTAGGCTGCTCCATTTAGGTGGTTTCTCTCTTTCCCGAGCAGACTGTACACCCAAAGTGCATACAAGAATGAACTGCTGAGCACAACTGTCCCCGAGATCCAGCGTACCAATCTGGCCAACGTGGTGCTGCTTCTCAAGTCTTTGGGGGTGCAGGACCTGCTGCAGTTCCACTTTATGGATCCCCCTCCAGAAGACAACATGCTCAACTCAATGTACCAGCTGTGGATTCTTGGGGCACTTGATAACACAGGTTGGGTGGAACAACCTTTGCCCCATATGTGTGTGTGGGGGGGGGGGTTGTGCTTCTTCTGTGGGGCTTGGCTCAGAAGATCACTGTCCCCCCCAGGTAGTCTGACATCGACTGGACGCCTGATGGTGGAGTTTCCCCTTGATCCAGCCCTCTCCAAGATGCTGATTGTTTCTTGTGATATGGGCTGCAGTTCTGAGATCCTGCTGATTGTCTCCATGCTCTCGGTCCCAGCCATTTTTTACCGGCCAAAGGTGGGTCAGGGACTCTTTAGGTCTTTGGTCTCAGGAGTGGTCTTCCCGATCTGTCACTTTTCTTTCTGCCGTCTCTCTGCAGGGTCGGGAGGAAGAAAGCGACCAGGTGCGAGAAAAGTTTGCTGTTCCCGAGAGCGACCACTTGACTTACCTCAATGTTTATCTGCAGTGGAAAAATAATAGTTATTCCACGCTCTGGTGCAACGAGCACTTTGTTCACGCAAAGGCCATGCGCAAGGTGGGCGTTGGGGCAGGCCCAAGAGGCGCCAGCCGGGCGCAGAGCAACCCTGGAGGGAGCTGAACCTGCTCTGGCCCTTGCCTTCCAGGTGCGGGAGGTGCGGGCGCAGCTGAAGGATATCATGGTGCAGCAACACATGAGCCTGGCTTCCTGTGGCACTGACTGGGATGTGGTCCGCAAGTGCATCTGTGCTGCTTACTTTCACCAGGCTGCAAGACTGAAGGTGAGGAGGGGCTCTTGGCTCCCTGTGCTGCTCCCCTGCACCTGCCCCATCTGTTGCATCCCCCACTCCCAAGGTGGCCTTGCCACTTGCTGGGCTCGTTTCCTCTCCCATCGTCCTCAGCCAGATTCATTTTTGGGAGTCTCAGAAGGTGCAGGTCAGGTCTGGATCCAGCCCCAAGGAAGCTTCATTTTATTTATTTATTAATCAAATTGATATACAATAGCCACCCATCTCATTGGAAGTGACTCTTGGCAGCAGAAAATAATAAAACCAAAACGTAAAAACAGTTGTTAACAAAACACTCATTATAAAAATATAAACACCCATTATTAAAAATCAAACCACACAAACACACACACATACACAGAGCGCAACCACAATAGGGAAGCCACCTTAAAAGGTCCCACATTTACTAAGACCCCAAGCCTGAAGACATAACCAGGTTTTGAGGACATCCCTGAGGGATAGAGCTAACTTTAGGGGTGGGGGGAAAGGTTGCATAAAGGGGCACGATCGCAGAGAAGGTCCGACTTCTGGTACCCTTCAAATGTAGGCCCCTCATATGAACCCTGTGGCCCTCTCCGTCAGGCATTCCCTTGGATAACCCAGCCCCAGTCCATGAAGGAATGTTCTCCTGGAATGCCATGTTCAAAATCCCATGATCCTGTCTCAGCATGGAAGATTAATTACAGATTTTCCGCATCGCTTGCACCCAAGTGCTTGGCCCCCTTTTCTCTAGTGTCTTCTGGCTGTTCCAGGCCGGTTTTGTGTTCAGGTTGATTTCCTAAAACAGTTAAAGGCCTACAAAGGAACTGGGGCCAGGCAACACTGACCTTCCTGCTCTGCTGCAGGGCATCGGGGAATACGTCAACATCCGCACGGGGATGCGCTGCCACTTGCACCCTACCAGCTCGCTTTTTGGGATGGGCTACACTCCCGACTATATTGTCTACCATGAACTGGTGATGACTACCAAGGTGAGGGGATGCCTTGGGAGAAAGGGGCCTGCAGCTTATGATGCTGGCAGATATGGGTGGACCTGTTTTTCTCCATTACGGGCTCCCTCACCTCTGCCTTTACCCTGCAGGAGTACATGCAGTGTGTCACAGCTGTGGATGGTGAATGGCTGGCTGAATTGGGGCCCATGTTCTACAGCATCAAGCATGCTGGCAAGTCTCGTCAGGTGAGAATGAGCTGCTGAGGGAGCATCTAGTTGCTCCAAAAGAAAGCCAGCTGGATCTGATTCTGGCAGACTGCAGTTCTTGCTTGGAAATACTTTTTTTAAAAAATACCCCTGCTCATCAATCAAGATATAAACATCAAGTCTATGTAACAGCATTTGGGGAAGACGGATGACGTCTTGCGTGGCTGCTTGTTCTATTCCAGGAGAGTCGGCGGCGAGCCAAGGAAGAAGCCTCTGCCATGGAAGAAGAGATGGCTCTCGCAGAAGAGCAGCTCCGGGCCCGCAGAGAAGAACAGGAGCGCTGCAACCCAGTGGGCAGCGCCAGGTATGGCCCCGTGGGCTTCTCTTCCGGGGGGGGGGAGGGGAAGTCCCAAGCCTGGCGTAGTCTGCTCTCTTCAGCCTCCTGTTTGTGCCCCTTTTTGCAGATCCACAAAGATTTATACACCAGGGCGCAAGGAGCAAGGCCGGCTTGCCACCCCTCGCCATACACCAGCGCGCTTTGGCCTCTAGCCATGGACATCTCTGCATTATATATAGCTTTGCGTTGGCTCTGTTGGCCGGATCCTTCTGCTGCTGAGATCAGGATATCATTTTATTGTTTATATAAACATTGTTGCTCCTGGACTTTTTTGGTGGCTGTTTTGGTGTCAACAGAATGGGTCTTTTTTTCAAGCAAGGGTGGTGCTCTGGTAGAAGTGGTACATCATGACAGCTGCTACGGATGGGGCATTTAGACAAGTTGTCTCGATAGCAAAACCGGGTCTGCAGGAAGGGGTCACTGCTGGCTGTAGACCAGCTTTTCTGGACATGGCTTACCTTCACTCTGGATCTGCCTTCTCTAGCTTTGGCCCCTGGAAAGGTGGATGAGTGTAATGGGAGTAAAAGCGCTTGTTCACAACAGAAGTATGTGCCAGAGTTGTCGCAGTACAGCCTGCGGCTCCAAATCATTGTTATGGAGAGCCTGCAACCAGAGACACCCAATATTTACTGGTGCTCGCCAGGCCAGGCCAGGCCAAACCCTTCCTAGTCCAACCCATCCTATTCCAGCATTCTATTTCTCTTGGTTCATTTTCCTCTTCTACTTGCAATCAGGAACTGGAGACCCAATTCCATCTGTTACCTTGCAGCCTCTTTTTGGATGTAGGCTGCCCAATTGGGAAGTAATAAAGTTTCAGCAAGATCAAGACCTCTTTTGTTAAGATGCTCTCCCTAAAGAACTCCAATCCCCCTCTAAAACCATCCATCTCTCATCATTTCCAGTGCAGATCAGTGTGTTTAAGAGTCAGCTGCAATAAAGAGGGTTCTGTGGGAGCAGGTCAAAATATGCTTCCTTTAGGCCAGCGGTCCCCAACCTTTCCAGCTCCATGGACTGGCAACGAGAGAGAGGGGATGGTTTCATGCACTCACCCGCTACTTGTGTGGCCCAATTCCCAACAGGTTGCAGACTGGTTCCAGTCTACGGACCGGGGGTTGGGGACCCCTGCTGTAAGTAATCTCCCTCTTCCTCTGCTACTTGACCAATCAAGGAAATCGGGAGGTGGGCTGTAATTGGGCATCATCTGCTCTCTTGCCAGTCTCTAGTGGTTCATGGCACTCACCTTGATGCGCTCACATATAATGCGCTTTTCATTGACTTCATTCTTCAGCTGTTGGTTGTCCTCTTGCAGCCTCTCCAATAGTTGATGCAGAAGGCTGTGGGAGGAAGAAGGGGTGCAAAGAACCTAGGGGTTAAATAATCCTAACTTTCATAATCACTGCAGATGCTTGGAATTTAAAGGTGCCCATAGCTGGTTTTCAATCCATCCTAAACGAAGCATGTACATGGTCTGATTTCACCAAGGGGGGGTGTGTGTGTGTGCGTGAAGGAATCCCACAAATACTCCCCTCACCTCCACCCCAGCACCAAAGAGCAGCTTTTCTCACTCACTCTCTCTCGCCAGTGAGCTGGGCAATTTGCTTGATCTGCATTCGGAGTTTATGGCCCAGCTCCTCATTCATCTGCCTGTAATGAAAGGATGATGCTGAGGAAGCAGACGGCACTTCCCCTTTGCCCCAAATTCACCTCTAGCAAACAGCAGAAGCACCCATCTCTTTTGGGTTGTCCTCTGCTCACTTTTGACACTCACTTTTGCTCCTTTACCCACTGGCGAACATTGGCCAGCACCAGCTCGCTCTCCTGGTGTAGCCAGTGGTGGCCAGCACGGGATGCCTCCAAGGAGATTTGTAAAGATTCTATCTGCTGGGTGAAGGAAAAAGCAATCTGGGTTGGTTGCCATGCTGTGGTCCAGAGTGCTCCCTCAAAGGACCTTCCAAATCTGCTGCAAATGACCAGCCAAGGAGAGCAGGGAAGGGTTAGAGACCAGAGTATGCTCTTTAGAGCCATCACCCCTTCAGCCACCCTCTGAGCGAAATGAAGGGGCTCCATCTACAGCGAGCTTCTGGTTTGATTCCTGCCCACCTTTAGGGAGTAACAGGACCTTGACTGACCATCACTGTTTCCCCCTTCTGCCCTGTTGGGTGGAATGCATGGGACAGCAGGCAAGGAAGGGGGAAATGCAAGAATTATTTCCTTTTGGAGATCTCCTTGAAACAGGCCAGTGGAGAGGACAGACGAGAGGTCATTTCTCTCCCCAGTCCATGGTTGCCCTCGGGGCCAGGCAGCACATGGAAGGAAGAGTGGGGAGTCTGAGCTACAAATAACGGTGGAATGGTGGAGAGTGTGCAGCTAAGACGTGCTGGTGCTAGGAAGATAAATAGGGAACTAGTGATGCTTGTAGTCTCTAAATTGGCTATGGCATCCAGCACTTAGAGGGGTGGCAGGGCCCACCCCACTCGCCCTATCCCCCCCCCCCCCCGTCCTCCATGCAATGCCAGCTGGTGGCCTCGTGCCTATTTGCCAGAACTGCTCCTGCCAAACAAGGGCAGGCAAAACTTGGCCCCTCCAGAACACCTCCCACCTTTCATGTTGGGAGAGAGGCTGGGTAGGGTAGGAGCAATGGAGAAGTTGGAGCCCTTATTGAGGGTTTTGAGCTCTCTGGTCCTTTTATCAGCTGATGTTTGGTAGTGCTGCCAGGACACAGGAGCTGCCCAGCCACGGGACATCAGCCCTCTGGGCTCACTCACCTCTTCTGCCTGGTGCTGCAGCTGCAGCCGAGCCTGCCTGAAGTGTCCATGCACCAGCCCCAACACAGCCATATGCTTGGTTAGCTGCTCTTGCAGAGAATAGTTCTCGGCCTTCTGCTCCATCACACAGGCCTTCAGGCCTTGCACTCTCCATTCCGTCTCCTGTAACTGCATGGGAAGTTGGCCGTCAATCCCACCCCAGCGGTGTGGCTCTCCAGATGCCATATGTCTTGGAGCAGGTGCTCTCCGGGACAGAGAAACAGGCTCTTGCTTCTCCAGGGGAGGGGCTTGTTCCTGTCCACCTCATGCAGCTCACCTGCTGCCGCAACAGCTCTAGCTCCAGCATGGATGCTGCCTGCAGAGGTTGCCGCTTGGACCTGCTCAGCTCCTCCATCAGCTCCTTTAGCAGTTCTCTGCCAGAGATGGCAGCAGCAGGAGAACCACCTCCTCCCAAGAAGCTAAGAAGAAAGCAATTGGTTTTCTGCTACCCAGAGACAGGTCCCCTCCCCAACCTGGCCTGCTTCAGCCAAGGGAAGAGACCTTTTCTGCTCCAGTTTTGCTTCAGCTAGGCAGCCTCCCCCAAGGAGAACCTCCAGTGGGCAGCCAACTTTCCCAAGACGCTGAGGCTCAAGGTTGCTCTCCAACCGCTGCTCCTGGGCCACCTCCATTGCTGCAGGTAGAAGGAAAGGCTCAGGTGGGGGAGTGCAGGGCCCCAGGGCCCTTGGACTCCCATGGTTCAGCATGCTTGGATTGGGCCAGAATTACAGATATACTTTTTTTGTACTGACAGAAACTTGGAAGCTTTGTCTTATTCCTGCCTAGTTGATGCTTCAGAAGCACTTAGCCCAGGCATTAGAAAAATGGGATAAATGTCTCTAAGTGAGAATGAAATAGAATTTCTGCCTATCAGCTGGTGAGCAGGAAAGGAGAAGAATGGGAGAAGGGAAGGAGCAACCCATAAATTGGCCCTCTTGGCCCGTGTGATCTACCCCATCCGACATACCTGAAGCCAGCCTTCTTACCAGCCTTCTGGAACTGTTCCAGGCTCTTGGGCCTCCTTGGCTGCAGCACTGGGGTCACACCAGGCCAAGAGACTGCTCGGCATTGCTTGGCCTCCTGTGAGGTAGCATTCAAGACGTGGGCCCGGTCCCAGAAGATGCTGCAATTAGTCCATGCCCTTTGAAGGAGCCTGTCCGGTTTCTGAACGGCATGGAGGAGGGGCATGAGCGAGTGTCAATGTTCCCCTGGCAAAGCCCTCCCCAACCGGTATCCCTGGGCTATACTCACCCATTCCTTCTGTGTACACAGCTGGTGGCTCTGTCCCAGCAGGGCCTGCACTGGGCAAGCGTGGTGCTGCAGCACAGCCAGCTCCCGCAGCTGCCAATTCTGCTCTGTTGCTGCCTCTTGGCACAGGCTCTGCACAGCCAGTTCCAGGCGAGCCAGATCTAAAACAAGGCCCAGTCAGCTGGGACCCCTGGCTGCACATGCCAAGTTTAGTGTGGAAAGGACCAGCTAAGGGGACTGGAGAGGGAGGGGGTGGGCTCTACCTTTCAAGGTCTTGCTGTTCAGCTCAGCCTCCCGTGCCAGCTCTAGCTTCAGTTCTTGCACCAGGGCCCAGTAGGCCTCCGCCTGCTGCTGCAAGCCCTCCTTTTCTGCCTGCTGTAGCTTCTAGGCAAGTTCAACGGAGAAAGGGAGCTAGGTTTTTGCTCCTTTTGTGGCAGATCCCTCACTGCTTGCTCCAGCTGGCCAGCACTATTGGTACAAGGCCTACCTGATGAAGTACCGCCTGGCTGATCATCTGTTTTTTGTACTTTGCATTTGAGCAGCTGTGAGTCAACTTGTAAGATGCAAACTCTCGGTGCAGGCTAGCCACGGCTTCTTTTTGCTGCAGCAGCTGAGACAGAGCCCATCTCAGGAGCCGACTCTTGGGAGGAACAACCAGCATGTTGCATATGTCAGCTTCCCACCAGACAAGGCAATATGGCTCCTTCGGCAACCCCCCCCACACACACACACTCAGCAGCCACCTGCCCAAGCTTCCTAGACACGCCAAGGCTGGGTGTAAATAAGCCATCATGAACTCATAAAAGATCAGGCTATTGTGGAACACCACTGAGATTTCTGTGTGTCAGAGCCAGGATTTAAATCCTAGGCCCTTTTCTCACCACAGACTTGAAGCTTAACATCTGTTGCATACCAGAGTTCCCCCTCCACGCCAGCTTCCCTTCTATAGAGTGGAAGGAAAAGGGCTGTGGCCACACTCACCTTGTCGTGGCTGACTGCCAATTGTTCTTGAAGCTCCTGAGTGGTCTGGTCTTGCTGGCCTGTGAGCTGCAAAGCCCAGCCCATCTCCCGAGCATTGAGCTGTCCAAGGCCATCCTCTGCTTGGCCGCTACTCCAAAGATTGTCCAGCTTCTTTGCACACCTGGCAGCCTTCCTCCCGGCCTACAGCAGAGCAGTTTAGGGTGAAGATGGTGGCAGAAAAGCTGTTGTTCGGTCCATTGCCCTCAGCTTCTCAGCACCATCAGGGGAGAATTTGACTAGTGATCACCTCTTCTTCCCGATGCTGCATCTGACTCTCCAGTTCACCAACTCGGCCCAGAGCAGCTTGGTATTTCTTCTTATAGAGATCCAAGCTGCTTTCCAGAACATGGACAGAAATCTCTGCTTGCCTCAACTGCTCCCGCATATGCCAGTCCCGCTCAATTTGAAGAGAGCGCTCTCTTTCCTGCTCCTGGGTCACTGCCTTAGATTGTTGGAGCTGTGAAGTATACATAGGCAGAGAAAATAAGGTGCTGCCCTGGCTTGAAGGGAGTTCTGAAGCTCACCTGGACCTTGAGAGCCTGGCAATCTTGGAGCAGCATCTCCGGGGCCTGAGGCTGTCCTGGCCTGCACTCCAGGCTTTGCATCTGGCTTAGGCCATCCCTCTTGGGCTTCTTGTGCTGCAGCTGCTCCACGGCCACCTGGCAACCCTGCAACTGCCCTGGGAGGGCAGCCTTGCTTGGACTCTATGGAAATGGCATCACCCAGAGGTCAAGATGGGGAGCCTCTTGCCTCTGGGATGAGAGGGAAAGAGACCACCAAAGTTCCTCCTCCTTGTGCAACAAGAAAGGCTCCCACCATTCTATCATCTTCTCCCCAACTGGCTGAAAATTACCTTAATTCAGAGGTACAAGCCCACCATACAGGGCTGCAGAGGCTATTTGGAGAAAGGGAGGAGGAACCTTTCCCCAAGGCATGTACAGCTGCCAAGGAAAACCAGGGGTCTCTCCTAAATTCCAGCATAATGTCAATCCAAACAATAACAGAGTCCTGAATAAATGTATGGAACAAACCCAAACAGATAAAACTGAAAAACAGTAACACCTATAGACCCAGCTCTTTCATCTTTACCTCGCTAAAAAGCAGGTTTCAAAGCTGCTCCCCTGGCTGAGATTTGGCAGTTGCTCTGACTGCCCTCTGCTCTGCTGAAGCTGATCCTCTGCTCCACGATAAGGGCCTACCTGGCCCAGGAGAAACCAGGACGCCCAAGAAAACAAGCACCAGTCCTCCTGCACATAAACCACGAGAGGCATCCTAACCGAGGCTGGGCTGTATGACACTTTTGGATCAGCAAGGAGGCCACTTGCATCTCACAGAAGGCCAAGGAAGAAACTCAAATGCCCGAGGAGAGAGTCAGCTGGTCCCTTTCAGTCTTCCTCTTGCCAGCACGCAATGAGACACCTCCTCTCTCCTTCCATGCATGAAAAAGCAAATATCTGTGGCCTGATGAGAAACTAGCAGCTTTCCTGGCTGGGAGAGATCTTTAATTCAGAGCTCCTGGGAGCTTTATTAATCCTCTGGGTTGGCGGAACTGAAGGCTTGATATTGAGCACTGAGACCCAATACCCAGCACATGGATTTTTCCGGCAAAAATGCTGGTCAGAAACCATGAACTCAGCAATGCTACAACCACCTTTTTCCCATGGTGAAGGAACTGAACCTGCACCCTCCGCAGCTTCTTGTTGCTGGGCCAATCTGTGGCTGCCTTCAGGCCCTGCAGCCGTTCCTGGGAAAAGAAGCCCCGCTGGCTGGGGCTGGGAAGATAAAACCTGCTGCCATCGCATAACTCTCTGCCTGTTGGAAATCGCAAGCTTCTGAAGCTGGGGCTTGGGTGCTGTTCCTGGGGCTCAGATGGCCCTGAAAATCAGAGGTAACAGGACTGAAGTGGTGGACCCCGACTGTCACCCAAGGGCTAGAGGCAAAAATGGGGGGGGGGTAGAGAGACTGGCTTCAATGCATATTGCGTCACTCTACCATGCACTTTCTTTCAGAATGTGGCACCTTTCCTGGCATTAAGCCCTTTCTTGGAGGCCTGAGAGGGGCTTTCCCCTTCCCTGGCACTAATCCAGGCGGTAGAGGCTTGCCATTTTTGTGCTATAAGCTGCCAGAGTCAGAGGTGGGCGGCAAATAAATGAATAAATAAATAATTGAAATATCGCCAGGCAGCCTCTGGAGGGAGGGTTTTCTGGCCTGGCTACGCACTTGAAACAGCACTTGCTGGTGAAACGTAGGACAATGACTTCCAGTGATTTCACTACTGCTGAAGGATGAGAAGACTTTTTCTCAATATCTAATAAGTCCTTGGTTTCTGGAAACTCCGAAACAAACAAAACTGGCTTGACATCAGCCCCGCGCTTTGCTCAAAAACAAGCCTCAAGAAGAAAGTGCTGGGCCCTGAAATCCGTCTCCACTGGCAGACAGAACCATTTGCCATTTTACTACAGGCGGGATCCCTCCGAAATACTCCACCCCTGAGGCTCTTTGGGGCCTGACAGGCACAGACTTTATTAACATTCATCTCTAACATCATTAAGATGTTTCCTGGAAAATTAATTGAGATACTCATTAAAAATAAATGAAGAAAAATGTGTTGCAGGGTGCTTGCTGTGAGCTCATAAATCACAGCTCAGAGCTTTGGGTGGCTGTGCAGACAATTAATGTGGGCCAATTTGTTTTACCTTGACTCTGAAAATTAGAAAGCAAACCTGAAGGTTAGATTAGGGCTGTCTGTCGAGCACTAGTCAGAATGCCTATTTTAGGACAGAACAGGAACATTGTGGGATGTCAAAAGCCTGCAAGGTTTCTGTCTCAGAGGCACTGATAAAATGGGCCTCCATCCCAAGGAATGGGCAGAATTCCTCCCCCTTTGCAAACTGTCCTCACTTCGCACTCTGCTGGCAGGAGTGACCTGCAAAACTAGCAGCAAGTTGACTGGAGAAAAGTGCCAGAATGCATCCTTACAGAATAGAGAATAACTGAGATGGAAGGGACCTTGGACGTTTTCTGGTCCAACCCCCTGCTGAAGCAGGAGACCTTATAGCATGCCAGGCAAATGGTTGTCCAATCTCTTCTTGAAAACCTCCAGTGATGGAACACCTACAACTTCTGGAGGCAACTTCTGTCCCACTGGTTAATTGTTCTCACTATCAGGAAATTACTCCTTAGTACTAGGTTGGTTCTCTCCTTGATAAGTTTCCATCCATTGTTTCTTGTCTTGCCTTCATGTGCTTTGGAGAATAGGTTGACCACCTCTTCTCTGTGACAGCCCCTCAGATATTGGAAGATGCTATCATGTCACCCCTAGTCCTTCTCTCCGTTAGACTAGACATACTCAGTTCCTGCAAGCATTCAATCTTAAGTTTAGCCTCCAGGTCCCTAATCATTTGGTTGCTCTTCCCTGCACTCTTTCTAATCTCAACATCTTCTTTGTATTGTGGTAACCAAAACTGGATGCAGTAGCATTCCACATGTGGTCTTACCAAAGCAGCATAAAGCAGTACTAACACATAATGTGAGCTTGATACTATCCCTCCATCGATGCAGCCTAGGACATGGCTGCTTCCAGGTGGGAAAGAGCAGGAGAGGAAGCCTGTGGAGATGTCATGTTCAAGAGGCCACTTTTTATCAGATCACTTTGCAAGGCAGCTGAAGGACCTCCGGCCAGTGATGCCTTCTGAGAAGGGACTTGGCTGCATGGCCTCCATAAGCCCTTTCCAAACTTTGGTTCTGAGCAGAAACCTGGCCAAATCTGCACCATCTGAGACACAATGCCATTTGTTGATCGGCTTTTGCCCCAGGCAGGAGAACATTGGGAAAAAGTAGCTTGCTCAATTTTTCAAAGGAAGATCTGTCCCTGTCAATCACAGGCGGTACATTGGCTGGCAAAATCTCTCTTTCAAGGCCACAGCCTTGGTTGTTTGTATCTGAAGTCCAGCACACACCTCAGTATTCCTAAGCTCCATCTGCCCACCCTTCCCAGGGATGAGCAAGGGGTTGTGATTTTCTTCACACTGTCTACTCTACACGCTTTCTGCCTTTACTCTGGCAGGGGCCTTTTTCCACTGGAGCTGGGGCAGCCCATCCACTGCAGCTCTGCTGGAGGGCAGCAAGGGGAGCCATGTCTGTGCCTTCCCCCTCCTTCCCCCAGCAAGCTCCATGGAGGGATCCGCAAATAGCAACTCTTTGAAAATGCACCTTGATAACCAGGCATTAGAAGCAACTCATGGGACAGTGACAGCCTGACAGAAGGAAAATGCATTAAGTATCTTTTTCAGAACCCTTAAAATGCCTTTATTCTGTCAAGAGCGATCATTATTTGCTCTTTGAGGCTCTTGGAAGGGAAAGGGTTATGCATTGGGAGAAGCCCTTTGTGGACAGCCTCTCTGCAGGGAGGGAGGCGCCTATGGGGGCTGCCAGCTTTCCCCAGCCTTGGTCAACTTTTGGGACTGATGGGACAGAGGTCATACGAGAGCTCCTTGTGGAGGGTGAGAGTTCATTGGTGCAGCCTTCTTCCCCTTTCCAAGACTGGGGTTACTACCACACTTTCCATCCCCAATTGCATTTCCTTCCTCACTGAAAATAAAATCCAATGGGTATCCAACACAAAGCCAGCTCTGGATCAAGTACAAAACCACCTATTTAACTAACACAATTGCTGAAGCATTGGAGTAACCCAGAAAAGGGGAGGGCAGGGCAGGAGGGCTAAATTAGTTCACTCCAAATCCAAGGGCTGGCCAGTAGCTAAGAGCACAGAGGGGCCTCCATGATGTGGACAGCTGGCTGTTGCTTTCTATTGGGAGCCAGAGACAAATGGAGTGAGTGAAGCCCTGAATGAGACTTCAGACAAAAATATTTGAGGCTCGCTTTCAATTTATGCAGTGACATTTCTTTTTTCCTACTTCATTCCCCCCCCCCATCCCTTTCCTGCCCCTTCCTCCCTGCCAGTACCAAGGCTACAAAAGAGAAGGACATTTTCCATCAGCCTCTGAACTGATCTCTTGCACTGGGTCAGGGTGCCCGCTGACTTTCAGGAAACTTTAGCAAAGCTGGTCATCCAGATGCCACATTCTCCTTGGCTCAGACAGTTGAAAAGCAAGAAGCAGATGCAGAGAAATGTTCTTCCCCTGCAGAAACTCCCTCCCAAGGGATTTACGCTGGAACGGAGGGTTCTAGAATTTATCTAATGACAAAGATCAGCAGTGAAATGGCAAGTCTGTAAATGACACAGGTCAACTTTATAAAGTCTTCCACAGCCTGAAAAAAGCTCAAAACAAGGTAAGCAAGAGAGTGGCTGGGACAGGTAGGCTCTCCCCTCTGGAAGGAGCCAGGCTATGCCAGAGACCGTGCTGTGACAAAGGTGGACGCAGGCAAGGAAGCTGGGAAGTACTCCAGGGTTGGGGTTCTAGTCACCTCACTTCTGGGGAGACACTGTCATGCGGGACCTCACTAACTAATGTGGCCAGGAACTCAGAAAGAGCAACAGAAGGGTCAGAATTGGGCAGGGCCAAAATCGAAACAAACACATTATCGAACCTCAGTATGTCCAGGAATTTACAGTAGCAGAAGAAAGAGAAAATGATGGAGGCCTCTCCCCTGGAACGCCCAGCTTCAGGTTCTGGAGAGCACAAGCAGTGGCCCCAGGCCAGCAGTCTTCCTCTCTCATCCAAACAAGATTTGCTCAACCAAGGGCCCTATCTGTTCAGGCTGCTTCTTCTTGTGTCCTGCCCTGAAAAGGGGCAGATGGGCATATCCAGCAGCCATTCCAACTGTCTTCTGTGCCCAAGCCCCCCTCTTGGAGGCGGGCACCTACCTACACAGAGTCTCCTGCTAAAGCTTCTTCTGGAGTATCCTGGAGGATGTGATTTCGCAAACAGCTGCTCCCTCCCACCAGCTGGGGGAGCAGCCTCTCCTTTCAGAGAGGAGGCCAAAACCCAGAAACTTCAATGGGCCTTGATTAGTGTCTGGGAAAAGGGTGTTCCTGGCATGGTGGTCGGCCAGGCAAATTGGTTAGAAAAGCCAGTTCCATGTCCGCTTTCCTGATCTTGCTCACTGCTGTCCTCCTAGTAAGGAACCGGTAAGAACAAAAAATAAGGACAGGGAATCATTGCCAACCTCCATCTCGGCTCCACTTTCTCACAGCAAGCCTGGCCTCCAAAGTTACTTGCAAATTGCCTTTAGTGCTGCACAAAAGAAGGGAAGACACCTCTCTATTCAAGGCAGAGAAGTCTGACAGCTTCACCCAGCAGGCCCTAGCCCTTGGTGGGCTGGTTGACCTGGTCTGCAAGGTAGCCTTTGTGCTGGAAAGATGGACTCTGTTTCCAGTCACGGAAGAGGGAGAAACTTCCCCTGCATTGGACAACCAAACAGGGTCCTCTGATGTTTTTCGGAGCACAGAGTGGAGGATTTGAAAGACTGGCTTTCTCAGAGCAGCTGCCTTACCTGCAGCCAAGTGTCTTGGAGCCCTGACCATACGGTTTGTCCTTCCACTGAATTCCCATGCAGTCTGGCTTGCTCCTGCTCCACTGAACGAGCACTTCCTGTCTCCATCTCTGGGTTCCTCTTGCAATCTTTCTGGCCGTGTGCCAGTTTTTCAGTCTGAGGAAAGGCAGAAAAGGAGTTATACTAGAAGCCCCAGATTCTTTCTACCCTTGTCTGCAAGGCAACCTCTTTGGAAGCACAACCCCACCCCCCCATCTGAGGGCCAAGCGAGGCATCCAAACCAACATTCACTGTTGCTGCCTCAGCAGGCCAGCATTTTGCACGTTTTCTGCTTTGGCCAGCAGTCGGCTTCCCACTCAGCAGGCCAAGCAGCAGAGTGTTTGCAGCAGAGTCCGAAGGAGAGACGGAGACTGAGAAGCTGGTATGTGGCTGGAAAATCTCATCCCCTTGAGGTTCTTCACTTCAAGAGGTGTTTCCTGACAGAAGCGGATTCCACAACAAAGGGAACTTGAGGTTACTTTTTACTGTTACTGTTTACGCTTTGAAAGCTGTAGGCTGCCCAGGGCCTGTGGGGTACAGCCTTTGAACTGTAGCTTAAACAGATGGCTTTCCCCTCTGAACTGGCACCCTCCTTATTCCTTCCACCATGCTACTGACTCACTGAAAGCCCAAAGGTGCATATGCTGTGGGGAAGGGTTGGGGTGGGTGAATGCCAAGGAAAGGCACCCATCTTACAGCACAGGTAAAACTGGGTGGACCACTTGAAAGCTTAAAGTGCATCACGTGGCCTGACCCAGCCTCTCATGCAGAGGTGGCTGGCCATCTTTGGATATCTTTATAAAACCTTAGTAAAGCCATACCTGGAATACTGCATCCATTTTCATCACCACATTACAAACAAGATGGAAAAAGTGCAAAGAAGAGCAACTAAGGGCCTGGAGATAAAAACATATGAAGAATGGTTGCAGGATTTAGGAATGGCCAGTCTAGAGAAAAGAAAGACTAGGGGGGACATGATAGCAGTATTCCAGTATTTGAGGGGTTGCCACAAAGAAGAGGAGGGGGTCAACTTATTTTCCAAAGAGCCAGAAGGCAAGACAAGAACAATGGATGGAAACCAATCAAAGAGAGAAGCAATCTGGAATTAAGGAGAAACTTCTTAACAGTGACAGCAATTAACCAGTGGAATGGCTTGTCTTCGTACTTTGTGAGTGCCTTGGTCACTGGAGGTTTTTAAGAAAAGACTGGACAGCCACCTGTCTGAAATGGTATAGGATCTCCTGCTTGAACAGGGGGTTGGACTAGAAGAACTCTAAGGTCCCTTCCAGGTCTCTTCTGATTGATTTCTGAGGCCAGTAAGCAGCCTTATAGAACTGGATTGTCACACCCTCAGGGAATCGCAAGGGAGGGAAAGAGGAATCACACAGCCAGGACCACAAGCCAGAATTGGGCTTGCCTGCCTGAGGGCAGCTTGTTACCCTGATCTGGGGCTGAATTATGGGTTACAATCATGTGCAAAAACTGCACGGTATGTTTAGGCTTCCTGGTTTGATCTGTGTCCCACCCAAGCCGATAACAAATTCCCAGAGGCAGCACAAACAATTGTTCAGGTGCAGCTCTGCGAACGGCATTCAGTCTGTCCGGTGCAGTCTTTGCTTCAATAACTGCTCCTGCCACCTGGCTGAGCCCTGACTCGGCCAGGCTGTCAGAAGAGGCCCAGATCTGAGTGAGTCAGAAAAGGAGACTTGGCTGCACTAAGGAACAAAGAGCTTCAAGTGCCCAACAGGAGGTCCTGTGTCCAGGCTCTCCCTCCTTCCCTCTTCCCCTGCCCTAGAGAGAAACTCTAGGGCTTCTTAGCCAAAGAGGATGTGGATAGGCACCCATCTCAACCACCCTCTCAGGAAGAAGCCAAGGCGATGTCCCTTCTCCAAGGACAGCCCAGCTCTGGGAAGGACCTGTTCTACCTTTCAACCAAAGCCCATTCCTATGGAGAGAGGGCAGCTGTGAGCAAAGTCCACTCACGCTCGCTTGCTTGCACAGACTTCAAGGGAGTTTCCTGAGGGTGTTTCTCTTCCAGGTCTTTTCAGGAGATTTCACTGAGATTTGGAATGGTCTGTTACAGTTCTGGACTTCACGTTTCATTCTTCAGAACCTGCAAGGCAGAAACACATCCAAATGGCTGAGCAGAACCTGAAATAATTTCCCTTTAATGAAGGCCTGGGGTCAGGCAGTGGGCTTTCAGCCAAGGAGCAGAGGGAACAGAGACTCAGGCTAGAGGACAAAGCCTCTGACAAATAGGCCCGGCTTTTGCCTTCTGCCGCTTGAGGCTCAGACACCAGGAACTGGCCAGCAAGACCCAGGCAGAAAGGCCAGAGCAGTTCATGTGGTGGTCCCAAACTGCAGATCTCCCTTCTCTTGCAATGGCTCATCTGATGTGTGTGTGTGCACGCACGCACACACACACACACACACACACACACACACACACCTCTCTCTCTCCTGATCCATCATAACCAGAATCACCCCAATTGATGATCTTTGATAGAAAAATCTATTTTCTCTGATCCATTTAATTCACTTCATTTGCTACTTCTAACTCCCTTTTGGTGCTTTGCATAATTCTGTTTTCCAAAAAAGGAACACCATGATATGTACGTATGAACAGCTATACTCATTGATTAAAGCAGTGTGAGCTTTTTACAGCAGGCCTGAAGGATCAGAGAGCCAAGGCATGGATAAGAATGAGACAAACAAAGACACCGCACAGAGAGATGAACACAGCTGACAGTTGGAGCTGACCAGAAACTCCAGGTAACAAGAGGGTATAGCAGAGGTCTAAGAGACTGGCAGGTCGCCTGCCAGTTAAAGAATGTGCTCAAAAGGCCTTTGTAGAAAAAGGGCTGCAAGACAAGTCCCCAAAAGGCAACCAATGCCAGGAAGACCTTTTCGGCTTGCTGATGCATCCCCGGAGTTGTGCCTCTGGCTTCTCGGGGCCAACCAGCTGCCCTTTTTCTGTTCTGTTAAAGGCCAGAGAGCAGCCAAGCTCGGCTGCACTCACTCCCTGGAGTAGTCAATTAATTCTTTCCACCAGAAGCAAGGAGTCAGATTTAATCTGTTTAGCAGCCTAATCAGAGATTTCTTAAGGATTTCTCACTTTGCTTGGTAGCATGGAGCTACCAGCCTCAAGAAAGGCTCAGGGAGCTTTGCCTTCCATCTGCCAAGCAGAGCAGGAAAGGGGGGGGAGGGGGGGACAGGGCTTCTGACAGAAAGCCTCCCACAGCACATTGGAGCAGAGCCGTACTTGGGACGGCCCCTTGAAAGCTATTTCCAGAGGGAGACAGTTGCGAACTCCTGGCCTGTGAGAGGGACCCTCGAAGAGCCACTAGAGAGTAAAGAGCTCAGCCAGCTGAGAACCTCCAGACTGACCCTTCCGAGCTGCAGCCTTGGCACACAGCAGAGCGGCTCAGCAGTGAAATGGGGGGTGTGGGCAGCTCACCTCTCATGAGACCCTTTGCCTGATGGACGTGGCAGTTTTGATCCACTGCTGCGACAGGCGCTTTGCATTTTTTTAAATATACAAAATGAAATTAAAGGGAAGCATGAAATGTAAACCCATTTTTGCCTTTTAAAGGAAACATCACCAAACCTAAAAAAGTTGGCTCTTACTGGCACTGCCACTCTGACGGCAGTTGGTGGAGACCTTTCCAGCAGCTCTGCTTTCCAATCAAGGGAGCCCAGACAGGAACTTCCCCCTCCCCCGCCTCGCTCCCTGCAGAGACTGGAAGAAGCCCAGCAGAAGGGGGCTCAGGACTCTTCCTCTCCGTGCCACTCCGAAAGCCCTTGCTCTCCAGAAGGGGCTGCAGGGTTATTTTTAACAAGATATGTCCCCTTCCTCCGCCCCAAGGTGTGGGCATCGTCCTCTCCGTCTTTCTCTATCAGGAGGATAGTGCCAACCGGTTGGTAGACAGACTTCTGTAATTTTTCAGCTTTAAAAATCAATTAATCTGCATGTTAATTAAAGTCAAGCTGGCAGAAGGAGGGGGGATCAAGAGGGAGGGAGGAAGCAAGGGAAGGAGGGAGCGAGGCACAGAGGGCGGGCAGATGGCAGGATGGCAAACTCATTGGCACAGTGCCATCCAGTCAGTGGCAATGCCACACTTGCATGTGATAGCAAGAGCAGCTGGGCAGAGGAGCCCAGCATTCTGCATTCACACCAGCCCAAATGAAGCAGCCCAGGGAGACTACCCAGAACTCAGAGCAGGTAGCCCAGGGCACAAGGCCCCCGAAGACACTCTCAGATTTCTCTTGGCTCTTGAGAACCCACCCGTGGCACCAACAGGACCCCCAGCATCAGCCCCACTTCTTCAGCATCCCATGCAGTGGAGCCAGCACAAGAGAAGACAAAGGCTACCATCTCTGCCAAGAGGCAACTGCTAAGCCCAGGGTGGCACCTTGGAAACAGCAAAGGAGGAGGAACAGCCCTGCTCGTTTGCCTTTTTTTTTCAGCCAGCATTGAGGCACCAGGGCACCCAACCCAGTTGCAGCAGGCAGAACGCCAGCAGCTGCCTTCCTCAAACCACTGCTTCTTTGCCCAGCAGGTCAATTTCAAGCTGGCACTAAAGAGACAAAGAACCCAAATTTGCACCAAGGCAGCCGACACCGATGGGAAAATGCTGTAAGTCTCAGGTACGCCAGCTTCTCCAATGACAACGATCAGCTAACAGTCTAACAGGAAAAAGACCATATCCACAAGGAAAGAGCCCTCCAGCCTTGTGCTCTATGGAGAAAAAGGGCTTTGGGTGAAGGACATTGCTGGGGATTGGCAGGAGCACCAGTGTGAACACGGGCATGAAGACACATGGAGGAGGTATGTACAAGACAGGCACGCCTGTCTACTCGCTTTCGGAGCATGAGTTCATTCTTGTGCAAACGTTAATACCAAATGTGTTTGTAAAAGGGAGAGGGTTTCCACAGGAGACAGGCAGGCAATTACCTATATAGATGGATTTGCTGCTTTTGACCCATTTTTATCCATGCCTGGAAGAGTTTAAAAAGACCCCACCCACCCTGAAACAGCCCCCATGGCTGCAGATTTATTTCCAGGCAACGCTCTTGCCAGGGAGATGAATGGGGCTTTGGGAAGACCAGTGCGACATCCACCAGGAAGGGTGTCTGTGTATGGAGAGGAAGAAAGCTGTTCAAATCTGCACCAACAAAAAGGCCGAGCAAAATGGAAGGTGCCTTTTATGATGCCTAGATGGCACACTGGGCATGTCAGAAAGGAGAGGCACGGCCACAGAGTCCTCTCTGTGCTGAAGTTTCTGAAAACATCTGCTCACCCGGGTTGCTCATGCTGTCAAGCCCTGAGCCCAGAACAGTCCTGGAGACAAAGCTCCAAAATTAACATCAGGCCAGGGGAATATTAGGAATGTGCAAACATAGAAGCTAGACGTTGCTCCATCTGAAGAAAACATGAAAGAGAGAAAAAGCCAGAATGGGCGTGCTCTCTGTGGCATTGCCAAGCAGCACTGCTTAGGATTAATGGCATTGGCATCTTTGGAACCCCTAATGAGCTTTTCCCATTGCTGAGGAATTGTGTTGTCTGCTAATCTATTTGGAAAGAGGGGGGGCAGGCTGTCCTGCCTGCCATGTGGCTGGAGGATTACAAAAGACGGGCAAGAGGAAGGAGCATCAGCCAGTCCACTTGTCAGGGCTTCTACCAGCCACTGGCTTTCCTGCGCTCTGTCAAGGGGCTCCTGGCTGCTCTCACTGCTCTGCAGTGCGGCAGGGCTGCTCATCTCTATCCCTCCTGCAGTGAAGCCTTTTCCACCCCTCTCATTTACATCTCATTAAGTAAGGCAAGCAACTCTCGGAGGGAGAGCCCAGCAGCGAGGGAGGCAATGACCCCCCCCCAACGCTGCAAGCTTCTTCCCCCCCCCCCCTTCGGCTCGTGAGCACCGGATGGAGCCCTGTTGTTGCAGCAGGATGTGACCCAGGACCAGCCTGGAGGAAGAGTAGCTGTGCCAGCACTTGGGAACCTTCCGCCTTCCAGAGGAAGAGTGGGAAGCCACACCAGAGCAGGTGCCAAGGACGTCCATGCAGGAACTGTAACCTTGGCTCTGCTCCGCAACACCATTTCCCTTCTTTTGCTTGCTTCTCTCTGGCCAAGACCTGGCCCCAGCTAAGGCTCCTAACATGGGGGCCTCCATCCCAGAGGTGCCTCGGAGGAGCAGAACTGGGGAGGGGGGGACAAAGCCCCTGCTCGCTGGAGAGCTTCAAAGAGGGAGGGCTGGGCTGAGCTGAGCAAAGGCAGCTCCTGACCTTCTTTCAGGCCCACCCAGAGGTCGCTGTTGCTCTTCTGAAAGCCTCCTCAGCTGCTAAAGCCAGAGGGTTTCGCAGGGCACAAAGACTACAGCTTTGGAAAGGAAAGGGGAGAGGAATGTGGGCCTGTCTCTTTCTTCACCCCAAAAGGGCAGGGAAGAGCTGGCAATCCATAAGACACCTGGAGAGTGGAAGCCAAAGCCCCCAGGGGGCTCCTTGCTGGCCTTTGCAAGTGCTCTTTCCTGAGGAAGGCCAGGTGTCAGTGTGTGTGTGGGGGGGGGATCAAATGGTATTGCCTGCTCCCCCCCCCCCAGTACCACAAAGTTTGATTCCATGCAGGCACTAAAAGATCAAAGAGCAGCCTTGGTGGAGCACTCTGGGCCCACGAGAAAGCAGAAGAACAGAATAGCAAAGTTGAAAGGGACCATGGAAGTCTTCCAGTCCAACCCCCATACGATTCTGGACAATGGCTGTCCTATCTCCCTTAGAAACCTTCAGTGATAGAGGCAAGCCATTCCACTTATTGTTGTCCCTGTCTGGAAATTTCTCCTTAGTTCTAGACTGGATCTCTCTCTCTCTAACCACAACTCCAACCTGGCGCCGAAAGGCTCCCAGACACCCAGCATGGCCCAAGGGCCAGCAGAGGGGCCTGCTTGGATGGGGCTCTTGGAGCACTTTCCCTTCCATGGGTTCTTTTACACTTGTATTAAACTGTTGAGTCTTACCTAGCTGTTTCTTCTTCAGTTTAAAAATCCAGCCCCTCCCCGCCCCCGAAACTGCCACCCAGGCTGAAAGCAGTGTCTGAAGAGCCCCAAGTCCTATAGCCCATTTTTGCCTCTCCCAATTCCTGGACAGGCCAAGCCACCCTCTTAGTTGCTTCTGGGGTGTCCCTGAAGACAATGGACCTAGGGCCCTCTTGCCCATCCCTTTGTCCACTGAGAAACAGCTCTCCATGCAAGCCCTGGTAGGTCAGAGCACAAGCAGCAATTTACACCCCAACAATCTGCCTTCAGCTCTGGTTTAGCATTTTTACTGGAATACAAAAGCTCTTGAAAGAAAGGGGGGGGAATCTAGTGAGGCAGAAGAGATGGAAACTTGCTGATATTTGTCTCCTATTCCTTCCCAGGTATGCAGTTATAAGTCAAGAGCAGAAGAAAAGGCAGCAGCACCGTGGCAGAGCCTCCCTCTCCATTCTGCTCACATGTCAGAGCAGCCATTGGTGCCACATCAAATCGGACACTCACTCATTGTATATTAAGGGGTTTTTAAAGCTCCTTGCCAAATTACATTTTCTCAATGGTTTCCAGTTTCAACATTTTTCATTTAAAATTGTGCTCTATGGCAGAGGTCCCCAAGCTTTTGGGCACAAAGGACCAGTTCCGTGGAGAGAGGATTTTCCGTGGACCAGAGGTATGTGGTTTTGTGTGCTGCCTGCCTCCCGTGGATGGGGCTTTCCTTGTTTGTGTGGACCACTTGCTGGCATGCCACAGCTTGGTACTGGTCCACGGACCTGGGGTTGGGGACCCCTGCTCTATGGAGATGAGGAATAGAAAAGAAGGGAGGACAACATAGAGGAGAAAAGTTCTGCATACTCTTCTTTTTTAAGTGAAAATCCACCCATAATTCAAACACCACGTAACATTTAAGATAAAATGTTGGCATCTGGAGTGAAATTGTTAGGCCTCTGAAGGTCTCCCACCATTATTAGGTAAGGGAACAGTTTTTCTTTGGGAGAGCTGTCATCAGATTCTCAGGTGGATTTAGACTAGAGGAGTCAGCCCTGACCCACAGCCAACCTCCCTAAGGTTTCCATTGGGCTGAACCCCCCAATGGGAGGGAGCTGGAGTTCATGCAAGCACAGTCCAACTGCTGAAGTCCACAGCTTGGCCTGCCAAGGGCCAGCCAGGCAGACTCTCTCCCAGGGGACCTGTTCTAGCACAGAAACTGGATTGAACAGAGCTGCTTGGCACTCCGAGGGAGCCACGAACACTTAGACCTCCCAGGGCATGCAGAGATATTTCATTCCATGTTTGGGAGAAGCTTTGTCCATAAAGAACGATATGGAAGGAGAAAAGGGGAAATAACATGAAATTTAATTATCCAGAGGTTTCCTCTGATATAAGTGGACCAAATGGTATCTAGCAGCCAAGAGCCACTCCTTCAACATCCCTATCTTCAATCCTAGGGATTCTCTCCTCTCCTTCATATGCCAATAAAATCAAATTTTAGTACTAGATGAAAACAAAATTATGTATAAGCAACAATGTTTAAATCTTTGCTTTGACCTTGGAGTCCAGTCAAAAGATCTACAACACAGAAGCTTCTCTGCCTCACTGCCGTTCTGTTTCCCAGCTTTCTGCTCAGGTAACTCCACTCACTGGATTTTACTTGTTACAGAAAAAACACATGCACTATTGCTGTTAATTGGTGGGCAACCACTCATTCTACCTGTCTTAAATCTTCAGCAAAGAGGCACAGCATTTCCAAAGCAAGCCAGAGCAATTTCCTTTACAGCTCTGGTTCAACCAGCCAAAGGAACAAAATAGCTCTCTTCCTATCAAACACATACAGAGGCTCTGAACTTCAGCAGCTCATATTTCTAATGTTTTCAAATCCAACAGCTTCCCAGATCAACTAATCAAATGGCCCAAAGGTTGGGGATGTAACATGAAAGGTGAACTTGCCTTTCCAGCCATAGAGCAGCATCTGTTGCAACCTTCCTTTGCCTCTTCCCTTCCCTTCCCTTCCCTTCCAAGTCATAGAATATGCACCGGCCAATCACTTCCAATTAATACTATGACTTCCTGATTTCTCCCTGACCCCATGCAATCCCCTGGTTGCATCTGGGAAAAGCCAAGTGACTCCTGGAGTGACCAGTGGTCCTTCCCATGTGGCTGTCCTAGAAGAAACACAAAGAGAAATCTTTCTAAATGATTCCAAGCCAGCGGATGAAAAGAAGGAGCCATCATTCCCCAGTGGGAGGAGGGGAGAAAAAGAAAAGCAGAGCGACCTTATCCATTCTGCTTTTAAGATCAGTAAGAGGTGGTCCTAGTGCTTACCTTCTGTTGCCCTGGCAACATACTCCTATAAATTACAGATTATAAAAGCGCATATTAGTTGCTGCCTGAGTAGACTGGTGACTCTGAATTCCTTACCAGAAGAATTAATGAGGCAAATTGTAGGTTTGGCTGTCTACCCACAGGGATCATCCACCGCCCAACGAATGGCATGTCGGCTGTTTCACTGATGGAGGGAGGAGCAGTTCCTCAACTTCAAGCAGGCCTGAAGCCCACCTCTCTAGCAGATTCAGAAGCAGGAAGAGGCCACACAGGTGAGGCAGGCCATGCCTGGCCCAGGCACCTGCAACATGGAGGAGAGCTCCTCCCCTGACACAGTCTTGCAACAACTCTGCAACCAGAGACCCAGAACCTCCCTCCCATGGGAGGGGGGGAGATGTGCAAGCATCCTGCTCCTTGGTTGCTCTCCCCCATGGTTTCTGGGCCCAGCCAGGCCTGGGAAGAGGGTGCCCTCAGACAGCATAAACCTCAAATGCCACTCCGTGACCCCCATAATACAGGACAGGAAGAAAAAGCAGATGGTAAAGCACCCTTTGCAGTGGCCGAAGCAGAAAGGGAAGCTGGTCCTACTGATATCATGTCAACCCTTGGAAGGACCTCCAAAGCACAGGGCAATGGGGAGGGGAGACAGTGAAGACAGGAACTAGGGAAGGGAACCGTCCTGTATAATCACAGGAAGGGGAGAATCACACCTGCTGGTCATCAATGCCTGCAGCCTGGATGGGAAAGGTTAAGCTGGCCAGGCCTTTGCCTCCTCAGCTGTCTCAGCCCAGGCCTGGGCTTGGCATGAAAAAGGTGAGATCAGAAGCCCCCCCACCCTGTCCACTATATTTCTAGAGCAGCCTCTCTTTCCCCCCACTTCGCCCGGTCTCCTCCCTTTCTTACTGGACCTCCAGGTGCAGCCAGCATAGCTGGCAATTGACTCTCCCCCCATTCCCCACCCTTCTAGAATTGAGAGAAGTCCATTTGTTCCCAAGGATTTGCCCACCGATTCCGACTTTTAATCAGACTGGAAAATTCATGATGAGTTGGGCAAAAAGATATCCAGGTCTCCAATGCCAGCATTGCCCAGATTTCTTGTATCTTTGTTTACAAAATGTGAATATTATCTTCAGTAAAATATCAAAATAATTGACATTAAATCAGTCATACTACCTAATAAAATGCCTACATAAAATGATAATGCAGTTTTTTAAAAAGCCAATTATTAGGGCAAAAGGCTGGCAAAGGAAATGGAGGTGTTATTGGGATTATTTTTTAATGGCAACATTCCTCTATGACTGCCTAACCTTCCTTAAGTGCCAGGATAAGGAGCCTTTGTATGAATTGAGACTGGGGATGGTGGTGTCCGAAACTGTCAGTCAGAGTTCTTTTTACAAAACAACTAGGATAATTTTGGATGTGTGTGTATTGCAAGCCTTGTTCTTCAATACTCCTATCTATTTTATTTATCATATTTAGAAACTGCTCAATTTGAATAACAGTTCCTATAAATACACATTTCAGATTACTGAATACATTGTTTCTTATTTCCTTTATTTTTTGGAAAAATAGCATTATTCTAATAATCTAGTAAGATTTGTAGAATCTTTGAAAGTAGAAGGACAAAGGTTCTGGAAGAAAAAAGACAGCCAACCAGATAGCAAAGATCCTATTATAGATAGAAAAAAGCTGCCGATATTTTTAGCACTAAACATTAGTACTATATCTTTAATGTAAAAAATGCTCACATCCTGTAGCGCCATCAAGAACACTGTGAGCTCAGCCCTTTCAGCCCTTTGCCTTCTAGGTCTGCTGGTGGTGGAAGCCAACTGCCAGCACTGAGGAGTTTTCAGACAGGATGCTCAGGGAACGCTCAGAAGGGCTGTCACTCTCACAGGTGACTCCGCCTGCCCCTCACCCTAAGCATTTCCTTTGCAAGGGGCAGTCAAGAGGGAAGCTACTTATCTAAGACAAACAACCATTAAGCCTTTAGAACAAGCAAAGACCAGAACACTGAATATGAATGAAAACTGAATGAGGTTAAGTGGTAAGATAGCCAAGTGCACATCTGACGTTTTCAGCTGCTGGTGGATCACAGAGAAAGACAACTATGACCAACCTCTAGTATAAAGGGAGTTCCTTATATTGAGGACCACCCCCTCATCGCCACCACACAAAAATGCTGCCATGGTGATTGGCATCATCTTGACTCTGAAGCCAACTGTGTGTGCAATTAGGCACAACTGCAATTTTTAATAGAATTCCCCGAATTACAAGAGAAGAAACTGCCTTTATTCCCAAACCACGAGAACTGAAACACAGGTCTATTTCCTTGTGAGCAGTTATAATAAAGATAGGAAGTCAAAATGTTCCCTCATCCACGCATGTCCCAAGCCACTTTCATTCAAGCAGAGCTCACAGCTATTGCCACCAGCAGGGAGAAAAATTTCCCCTAAAAATCTACAGACCAAATTTACCTCATTTCAGGAGAGAGGGGAACATGCTTCAGCTTTCATGATTTGCAATTTCTCAAGAATTATTTGCGCCGCCCCTGTTATCTTCTTTATGCCTAGAGGGCCAAGGAGGAACGCTAGTTTTGAAAAGAGCCGCCAGCACCTATCGCTGCTGTTGCCGCCTGGGATCTGAAATTCGGCCACCCCAGTTTAAAAGGAAGCCCAGCACCCGCTTACCCAGGCAGGGCTCGGCACAGCATCGCTGAGCTTCTGCAGGGCCTGAAGGGTCCCGGGATGCTGGGGAAGGGGAAGCTTTTCTCCAGGACGGCCGAGTCCACAGACGCCTGTTGCCGTGACGGGCCCGACTCCCCGTGCGGCTGGCAAGAGAGCGGACCCCGGGCAGCATCAAGCCCAAGAGGAGCGCCCTTTCGCCAGATCAAAAGCCCCTTGGCTGGCTCTGGGCGTGTTGGGGGAGAAGGAGCACGGAACGCGCAAGCCGCCCCATAGCCGAACGGCGTTCCCACAGAGCGGAGCGGAAGCGCTCAGCTTCTCCTACCGAAGGGCAGCCCCAAAGCCTCCCCCGCCGGAGCTCCGGCCCGCGCGGAGAGCGGGCAGCCGAGCTCGGGAGGCCTACCTGCGTTTCCGCCCGCGTCCACCGAGGGCGGCCTCCCCGCCCCCTTTCCCCCTCGGCCTTCGGCGCCCCGGGCTCTGGCCCCACCCCCCGCCGCAGCCAACCAATCCGAGCCGCCCGGGGAGATGCGCGCTCAACGACCGGGGCAGAGCAGAGGCGCCCGGCCGCGACGCCGCCAGCACCAGCCAATCGGAAAAGGGAGCCCGCCGTTGCCCGGCAGCGGAGGACGCGTCGAGGCGGGGCCCGCCGCCACGTGGAGCACGCTGTGCTGCTCTTCCCGGAAGCGCCCCTGGCGGATCCTGCCCGCTTGGATCCGCCGGTTTACCCTCCGCGCCGAGCGGCCGGGCCTTCGGGGAGCGAGGTAGCTCCGCCCCAGCGAGTGGAAAAGGCTTTTTATTCCATTTCCCCATGAGCAGCATCATGGATTTTAGAGTATCCATGGCCAGACAAAGCCTCTTCCATTTCTTTGCTCTGAAAGCCCATCTCCTTCCACTCCAAACAAAAGCCGATGCTTGATCTCCCTGTGGAAATCAATGCACGAATACTTCTTATGCTGGGCTAGAAAGGGACAAGGCTGCAATGGGGCCCCGAGGAACGTACCTTCCCTGAATAGGAGTGAAATGTTCTGCCTGAAGCATTAACGCCTCTTCTATGCCAGTCTGGGAGGCCAGTGACAGAACTGCGTGGGACAGAAACCGAAGCCATCTTTAAAAAATTGTATAAACCCCCTTAGCTCTGCAGTCACGTGAAGCTGTCATTATCCTGGCATGTTAGCTTCAATGTTCTCTTTTGAAAGATAATCAGAAACACAATTCTACCAAGAACAGGAGGGTGGAGGGCCAAATGAATAGCCATGTTCTCACAGGAATTAATTCTTTGTTGAATTAACTCATTATTTGGGCTCACATCATGCACTGAACCATAAACTAAGCAAAGAGAATAGGGGCCACACAGTCCAAGTCTTGACCATGGTTGGTGTTGGTTAAGGATGGTTAAGGTTAAGGAATAGACTAGCAGGGGACTCTGCCACTGGTTTCATTAAGGATGAAGATGTGCTTTCTCCTTTGCTTAAAACAAGAGACACGGTTTCTGTTGTCTTGAGGGCCACAATGGGCAAGATTAGGGTCCACTTGGGGCAGCATATTGAGGAACATTAAGGACACTTTGCACCTCTGCAAACGAGATCCAAACTTCAGGGCCCACTTATCCTAGAAACCAGAAAAAGGTTCAAGGTATATAGAAGGTTCAACAAAGAAAAATGGATTTTGCATCATGTCAGCCCAACTGACCCAAATTTACCATTCCTGTGTCTTGGTAGGGTAAAGGAAAATCCAGAAGCATTCCATCATCCAAGAAATAGCTGATCTCAACACTCGTCTACCCCTCAGAAACTTTGGATTCTGTACTAATTCTTATACATTTACCTCAGTTTTGGTCCAGCAAAATTGCTTTTTCCAAAGGTCTTTTCTTTCTTCAGGTTATAATTCTTGATTTTTGATTCTGCTTCATCTGAAAAACAGCCTCATAACTTCAGTTTCTTGAAATCAGGTGGCCAACTTCCCTTTCCTTTTGCTGGGATGTTAGCAGGCTCAGTTCAGCTCAGCTTCCAAAGGTTCCCTGCAATGGCCAGAGGCTCCTCTGCTCAGCACGGCCTTCGCTTGGCTCCCAGGGCAGCTTCTTTTCAAGCCCAAAATCCTTTTGGAGTCCTTTCACCTTGCTTAGCAGAGCAAAATCATCACTACCATCTGAATCCAAAGCATACTTCTGGCAGAGGTCACTTAACCTTCCAGCTTTGCAAATTTTCATGCCAGTTTGTTTGTTCATACAAGAGTTCTACTTAATTGGATGTTGCTTAGCTGAATTCATTCCAATTTAGAAGTAGCAGTTCCATCTTTTAGTTTGTGTGCGATCTGCACCATAATAGTGAATCCACACCCACCCTGGAAAAAAATGCTGCTTCTGCATCTGCACCGGGAGGATTCCTGCCCAACCCATTACTCGAAGGCAGCCCTGAATGGAGCCCTGAATGGAAAGAGAAAGGGGCTATGCAGAAGGGCCACCCTACTGCCAACTTTCTGGCTTATTTGCCGAGAGCCAAAACCAGCTGTGTGTATAGCCAATTACAGCATACACATATATTCACGCAAATACAGTTATGGATTTGCATCCTAGCATGTGACTCGAGTGTAATCTATGGCATTTCTCAATGGCACCACCCATTCTCTTGTTCCCCTATGATGCTAGGGAGGGGGAGGCAAAGTGAAAAGTCAAGAAGGCAAATGAGCTGTTACTTCTCATGATTGCTAAATATATAAACCTCACACACAAACACACAAATCTATTCTTATCCAACCATGCTCCTTTCTTTTAAATTAGATGTGAGGAAACACTATCATTTTCAGAGGAACTCATACCTTGGATAGGTCAGCACAATATGTTTCTTGACAGGTGTGGAGCCTTTTCACTTTTTGCATGGATTTCTGCATCTTTTGCTAGTGCTGCTTAAAGAGGAATATGCATATAGTAGAAAGACAGGCACAAACAATCGCTTTGTTTCAGAGGCAACACAAATCCACCCGATACCAAAACACTGCTTTTGCTGTTCTGTTGGATGGAACAGAGTCCCCCAAAAAGGCTCCCGCCTGTCCTTATGCATGGAACAAATTATGGCAGATAAATGGCTCCTCTTTCACGGGATCCCTCCATTTCTATCTCAAGAGAGATAGAACAATGACAGTGAGCCCAGGAGGCAGATCTCTGTTTGCTGCTGGATTCCACACCTGTCGAGTCTTTTCCATTCCAGAGCTTCTGTATTAAACATCACTTGAGAAGCTTTCTACAATATTTGTTTATATTTAGTTAGCCAAAAATGGGTCTCTTTCACAATGCCCCCCTTTCCTCAGTTTGAAGAAAAATATATTTTTCTGTTTTTATTTTTTTCTATTCCACCCCACAATGCCCCCCCCCCATGCACACAAGTAGTAGGCAGTGAGAAACTATGACTACAATGGGATAATTTGAAATGGGCCCAGCAGCCAGGTGGAAAGGTTTCTTTGGGGAACACTCCTGAACTCCTAAACACCTGCCACTCCTCCTCAAGTTCCCCTCCCCCACCAGCCCTGCTTCCTTGACACAGGATCCCAGTCATTATTCTGTGAGGAGTCGTCCCAAGCTCACAAAGTGACTTTCTGTCACTGAAGTTGGAGTGCAGCATCCACAGGAAATTGGAAAGGGCTCTCTATTACCCTCCATCCTATCTTCCCCCTTTTCACTTCCCTTTGTCTCCTGGTCTGGTTTACAGGAAGGAAGTCCAGTGGCGTTTGGGCTCAATGCTGGTCTCAGATTTGCTCCCTTTTGGAAAGCGCCATTCTTCACATAGGCAGCTGTTTCTGGCTGTGCTCTCTCCCATTCCTCCTCTAAAACCAGCATCTGAGAACCCTGGCAGATAACTGACCTGGGACCACAGAGAAGCAATGCCTGCTTTTTGACAGCCTGCAGAGCCCACCACCCCAAAGCCCACCATCCTCATGCCTTTGCCAAGTGGTTGGCCTTCAGGGCCCTGTCCCATTGTCCTGTCTTGTTCAGCCTGGGGGAATAATCTTCCCTTGGGCAGAGAGACCTCTGCATTCACACTCTGGCACAGCAGAGACAAGAACTTTGGCTCATTTTTTTAATGTACCACAATGAGCAGGAAACATACTTGATGAAATATTTTCAAAGGAGTATATTCAATTACCATCTACAATCAACTTAACTATGACAACAAAGTGTTTTGTGACAAAATTTGTTTGTTTTTAGAGTTCTGTGTGGTTCTACTTTTGTCCATCTCTATGTATTTTGGTACAATTTGAGATCAGCATTATTACAGTAACAAAAAAGCTAACAAGACAACATTATAGAAAAACACCAAGAACGTCATTTTTGGTTTCACTTGCTCTAGTTTTTTGTACATTGCAAAGGCTGCTTAGAGACTTCACCTCATTTATACTTTCTGTTTTATCCAGACTTGTCCCCCTCCCCGAATCAAAGTAATGAAAAAATAATCAAAAGTTATGTGTTTCACAGTGGGCAGGATTTTCAGAGCCATCCATCCATCTAGACAACCAATCAACCAGCAAGAGTTCCATTTCATTGTGTCCCCAAGGCCACCTGGACTAAGGGGCAGGCCCAGGAAAGCCATTTCTGCTGGCCAGCTGGGCACCACTTTGGACCCAGCCATATCCACCTGCATTGTCAGCATTCCTGGGCAAGACTATTTTTGGTGTCTCCCTGGTTTGGATTCTCCCATCAAACAGAAACTGCTATACAAGAAGGGCTCAGAGGCGGAAAGATGCTCAGCCTTGAGTGCTGGCACAGCCCTCTTTGGAGGCCAGAATGCCGTAGCTGCCTGCTCCTCCTGAGGGTCTATGAACCCCCTCCAGTGCCCCAGAGGGTGCAGTGCAATCATGGTAGATCTTAGCTTGGCTCAGGGCAGGAGCTGCTCAATGCTTGCCACTGCCCTGCTGGGGATACCACTTCTGCCAGGATGGAGGCCTCTCTTCTGCACCCAGAAGACTGGGAAGGACCTGGGGACACCCCACGCAGATGGAGGAGAGCTGTGACAGAGGGAGGGAACCAGGGCAGAACAAAGAAAAGAGACCTAAGATATCAAAGCAGGCAGTCCACAAAACTGGCCAGGAAACACTAGTGTTAAACTAGCAAGATATATACCATGTAAAGAACCAAAAATAAAATGGAAAGCCTCAGGATACGAAGTAACATTCAACAGTAACACACAAACTCAAAACGTAGGAACCCTTCCCGCACAACTTTAGATTTAAAAAGTGGACCATACGGGGCACCCCAGTCTGCCATTGCAGCAGAGTCAACTCAGGACAGGGTTTTCCGCAGGTGTGCAACCAGGGAAGGATGGATCCTCCATCGAGCAACAAGCAGCTAAGAGTGGTGGCAGTGAGGAGGTTGCCTCTCCCAGAGCCCGCTTCCATGGGGTGGGGTGGGGAGAGATTGGAGCCAGAAGATGAAACTGGGCAGGCCTTATTGGCAGAGCATGGGGTGGTGGTGGTGGTGGTGGTGGCACGCAGACACTGGGCTCGAAAAACAAACACTTGGTAGCAAACAGCCTGGCAGCAGTACCAATTCTCCTTTCCAGGACAATGATCAAAGAACATTCTTCTCTGGTGGGGTGGCAGCTCCAGGCTCTCTTCTCACTTCTGAGCACAGCATACTGTAAAACACCCCACTTATCTGTCCACATTCAGGGCCAGATGCTGGCAGAAGTGCAGAGGCTCCTTCATTTGTGTGTTTATTTGTCAAATGGGGTCTTGTGGCTAAAACAGAAAGAAATCCTCAAAAGATGCCTTTTTTGCTTGTTCAGCACCAGTGGCTGAAAGGGTTTGTCTTTGGATTTTATTTAAAGGATGAACTTCTTCTGGGGGAAAGAAAATAAACAAAGGGAAAAACAGCCCACCCTACTTCAGAAAGTCCTTCAAAAGGAACATGGGCGCCCCCCAAAAAGGGGAGAGAAACAAAAGCTGACATTTCCAAAATGGAGCTTTTACACATGGAGGGAGGGAAGCTGAAAGAAGAGGGTAGTTAAGTGCACAACTGACAGGTATACATCTTAGAAAGTTTTGAGCTCCCAACAAAAATATTTTGAAAGGGATCCCATTGACCCCTCTGAACCCTTTGAGTTTTTTCCTTTAATTTTATAAAATAACTTTGCAGCCACCCTCTGAGAAACGAAGGCAGCGACTGATAAGTGGAAGCTGATAACGGGACAGACAGAGAAGTTGCAGCGATTAAGACTGGACTCCATCTGGCCAGGATAGGAATGGACAAGACAACATTGAATGAGAAGCTGCCAGCCGGACCATATACAAAAGCTAAATGTACACAAAAGGGGGATTTCTACCATACTGCTTCAGTTCATTTCCAATGCAACAATCTACTCAACACCAAAAATGGTCATATCTATCATAAATACAGAAAGTCAGTTGTTTAAAACTCCAAGTCCTTAACACTCTGTGTGTTTTCTTTTCTGAAAAAGGGAGTGCTGAATGGTCCCCCTTGAAATTGGCTTCAGCAGAAAAAATACCCCTAAAATCCCCATAAAGCTAACTTAGTTCACATTGTTTATCTCTTGAATACTTTCTGCCCATTTTTAAATTAACAACAAAAAATCCTTTTCTTGGAAAAAATCAAAACCAAAAAAAGAAATTATATATATATATTTATATAAAACAATGATTCTGAAAACCGAACAAAGTGTGAGCAATTGACCTGAGAATAAAAAGACGTTACATTTCTTTTTTCCTTTTAGCAAGCAAGCCATTGGTATCTGAATGCTAAGATAGCAAGAAATTTAAAATGGTCCCGGGTGGTCTGCTTTCCCAGTTATGCTGGCCTCCACTGCACTCTTAAGGGCGTTGTGCGGATGGGGGGGGGGGCGATTCCTGGGGGAGGGACAGCCACCTTTGAGAGAGCCACAGCAAACCCTTCGGCTGCCCAGAGGCAAGTGGAGCTGCCAGCATCAACCTCTGGGAAAACCACCCAAGCGTCTCTCTCTCTGTTTTTCTTTTTTTGGTTAGAAGCTTTGGAATTGCAGTTAGTCTATTTCTGAAACTGGTTTGTTATTTCTAGATTCATTTTGCAAGGGTTCATCTTCAAAGCTTACAATCGAAAGGGGTCCGCGCTGGGGAAGCCGCCATCCCGGGGGCGGGTTGGGCTCTACCAGCCTCCTAGCCTCCCGGCCGCGGCCCGAGTCAGATTCCTCCGAAGAGAATTTCCTTGGCATCAGAGAGGGCTGAACCCCTGAGGTGCTGCACGAGCTTGAGGTAACTGTTGAAGATGAGGAGAGAGGCGGGGGCTTCCCTGGAGGGGAGGCCGCCGGAGGAGGCCAGGGCTTTTTGGAGGTGTGGGGGGGACCGGCGGATGGGGGGCCATCCTTGGGGCGAGTGGGGGGCTGCGAGGTAGATGCGGTGCTTGGGTCAGGGAGGCAGGCAGAGTGAGGTAATTGACTGGGGTGCTCTTTGGCGTTTCTGGCTGCTGCTCGGGGGACTGTCCGATGTCTGTGGGGGGCAGACTCAAGATGCTGCTGGAGGGCCTCTTCCCCACGCACCGTGCTGTCGCACGCCACACACTGGTAGGAGCCACCCCCGCCAGCAAGCACCTGAAGTGCCATCTCGGGCAGGACCCCCACGGACTGGCCGAAGCAGCAGAGGGACTTCAGGTGGTCGTCGGCCGCCTCCTGGCTCCCAAATCCAGCCTGGCATTTCCGGCACACCAGTCTGTACTGCACCGGGGGGACAATGAAGGGATCACAGAGGGAGTCTGGGGTGTTACTGCTTCCGGTGATGGGCTCTCCTTGGGGAGAGTCCTCGCGGGGCGTGTTCTTCTGCTCATCTGGCTTGGGGGGTTCTTTGGCAGGACCTTTTTCAGGGGAGGTGCCCTCCGCATGGATGGGGGGCTGGCTGCCTTTGGGCAGGGGCAGCTGCGCTTGCCGTTGCAGTGCCTCCTGGAGGCTCTGCTGATATTGCTGGTAGTGCTGCAACAGGGCGCCCGGGGACAAGCCAAGCAAGGCCTGCGACAGGGCCGGGCCATAGGGGAAGACCCCTTCCATGCTGTACATGGGCTGGAGGTATCCACCCTGCAGGATCCCTGGGAGTTGAGGGGCGTAGTACGGAGAGAAGCCGGGCACAAAATATGGGAGGAAGGGACTTGTCAGCAAGGCCATGGGGTCCATGTTGAGAGCTGCCTGCAGGGCCTGCAGCTGGGTGGGCTCCACCGAATACTCCAGGGCAGGCCCCATGGTAGGGAGGGCCAAGCTGGGGTTGGGCACCTCCCCTTTGTCCTTCTTGGGCCCCGGCAGGGCCTCCCCCCTGGCCTTGGGGATGCGCTCTTTCCCCTTCTCGTTCTCCTTGTCCTTCCGCAGTGGGAGGGGGGTTGCAGAGCCCACGGATGTTTGTGCTGGCGGGGGGGAGCTGAGGGAGACTGTCTTATTTGGGGATCCTGAGGTGGGAAGGCCAGGCGAGGGAACACTTGTGCCCGGCAGACCCATCCGGCCGGGTTTAGGAGACGTTAAAGCTGTAAGAAAGAAGAGAGACAGGTCAGGGAGGGAGAGAAAAGGTAACAGCATTCCGTGCTCCTCGGCATACAGTAATGCTGGCCACCTGACCACAGAAATGTCTTTGGACAATGCTGGCTCCCTCAGCTATGAAATAAAGTTTGCAGCATCCCCCAGAGTCGGACACGACTGGGCAGGGGAAACCTTTATTTTTACACCAGAATACCAAACACTGCTGGAAGTCACTGCCAGTAGACGGGGGAAGGGACACTAGGGAGACAGAAGACACTGAAGAAAGCACGAGTGTACAAAAAATCTTTCCTCCTCCCAAAACAACTGCAGAGGCAAGTGAGATCAGGTAGCCCTTGATGTATGAAGTGGCTGAGGGACTGGCAACTTAGCCTCCCATACCAGCAGAGGTCATCCTGGCCTAAAGAGTTGATAGCGGGCCTACCTCCCCATCCCACCTCATTCCAGAGGCAGAGAGCTGATCCTTCTCCTCTGTCATCAAGCTCTCCTCCTCTCCTCCCCTCTTAGGCTGCAAGAGGTCCATAGCTCTCAAGTGAATGAGACACCCCCCCAATCTGAAAAGGAAGTGCCTCTAGCAAAGACTCCTGCCTCAGGTAATCCATCTCATAGCTCCCTCAGGGGCAAGCTTCATCCACGTTCTCCCCTCCTCCCATTTTGGATGCAACTCACCTGTATTGGAAGGAGTGAAGCCAGGCAGGGATGGGCTGTTCAAACCTGGCAACAGGACAGGAGGGATGCTTTGAAGGGCTGCTGGGTAGTTGGCAGGAATGTTCAAAGCCTGCAGAGGGGGACTGTCAAACATGCCTTGCTGCTGAACGGCCAAGCCAAGCACTTCATTGGCCTTCTTGATTCGGTCCAGCTCTTGCTGTGCCATAAGCTGGCGGACGGTGGCTGGGTCAAAATACTCCTTCTCTTTGTCCAGCTGGCTCCCAACTGTCTCTTTCACTTTGGAGATGTGCTGCTGAGAGAAGATATGGTCACGAACAGACAGGCGGGCACTGTACTTGATGCCACACAAAGTGCACTCTGCTTTTGGCCCCTCATAGCCAGTTTGATTAATGCCAAAATGTTTGGCCATGTTGAGCTTGGATTTCTTCTCTTTGGCTCGGGCATTCTGGAACCAGACCTGAACAACTCTCTTGGGGAGCCCAATATCATTGCCCAGAACCTCACACTCCAGCATGGTGGGTGTCCTGTAATCACTAAAGCAGGTTTTCAGGACTTTAAGCTGGAGGTTGGTCATCTGTGTCCGGAAACGCTTCTGTCCTGGCCGATCTCCCCCATCCCCGGATTTGCCTGCTGAGCCACTCGTGCCTGGGCTGGGAGAGCAAGGGTCCGCCAGGCTTGATGTCTCGCTGTAATCCACAGTGCCTTCATTGTCGTACTCCCTGCTGTGGAAGCTGGGAGCCGGACTCACCAGGCCTGAGGAGAGTCTGTCTTCATACTCTGACAGGGCTAACATGGCAGCTTTGGTCAGACACTCACCTGGCCCCGAGCTCCCTCTGGCTTCTGTGGAAACCCCTGTGGCACTGTCATTGTCTGCATTGGCCTCATCACCTGTGGTTGTGTCTGTGATAGCTGTGTTGACGGAAGAGCAGTCATCATTGTCCAGCTTGGCTTGGTCAAAACTCAGGTGGACAGAGGACATTGAGGGGCTCTCAGAGTCTTCCATGCCTTCCACTTTGATGGAGGATGGGCTCAGCAGGGTCTGAGGAGACAGCTCTAGAGATTTCCTGCCTGGGGAGAGGGGGATTCCCTGGCTGTCACTGCTACTGCCAGGGGCAGGCAGCTGTGCAAAACTGGCCCCGTCAAAGAGGTCTCCCTTCCCCATGAACCCCCCTCCTCCTTCGCAATCCAGAAGCATAGCTGACAAGGTCAGGTTGTATCCTGCCCGCTTGGCTTCATGCCAGTGCCGAGATCGGATATGTGCTTCCAGGGCGGTCTTGGCTTTGAAGAGGGCCCGGCAGAAAGGACATCGCCGGTGGGCTTGAGCAGGCCCCACTGCTCGGAACTGCCCTTTCCTCTCCCGGGCCCGGGTGTTCTGAAACCACACCTGCACCACACGCTTCTTCAAGCCCACCTCATGCGCAATATGGTCGAGCATCTTCCGCGTGGGGTTGGAGTCCAGGAGGTATTTCTGGTACAGCACTCCCAGCTGCTCAGGGGTGATAGTGGTCCGGAGGCGCTTATCCCGCTGGGGCTCCTCTCCCCCAGTGCTGCTGCTGTCATTCCCAGCAGGGCTGATGCTGGCTTTTTCCTCCGCCTTCCTCTTCAGGGCGCCCATGGCGGCGGTTGGGGCAGAGGGTGAGGCGGCCGAGCTCAGGGGCAGTTGGGGGAGGGTCCCAGAAAGCAGCTGGCTAGCCAGCAGCGGGTTACTGGGGTCAAAGAGCATAAAGGGCAGATCAAGCGTCCTGTCCAGGAATTGAGGGTGGAGAAATTGGCCCTGATTGCTCAAAAAATGCAGCTGCTGATGTTCTTGCCAGTGCTCAAACGAAGGGAAGGCCAGCTTGCACTGCTCACACTGATACGGAACAAGCTGAGGGGGTAAGCTGGCCAGTTGCTGGGCACTCGGTGTGGTCAGTGGTTTGAGGGGCAGGTGGGACAGTTGGGAGGGAGCAGGGCTTGGCTGGGGCAGGCCACCCTGCAGAGGGTGGGCCAGCTGCTGCTGGAGGGGTGGGGAGACCTTTGGGTGCACTGAGCTCAGCTTTGGCTCTCCTTGGTGATGCGGTGGCGGCTGCCCATCTTGCTTTGGTTGCTGTTGCTTCTCTGAAATTGGGCTGTGTTGCATACTTGAAGGCTCAGGGTGCTTTGGTTTCTCATCAGTGGCGTTTGCTTTAGACTGGTAGGCAGCAGGGCAATCACTATCTGCCTCAGCAGTACTCTGTGACAGAAAGGCCACACTGGCAGAAGAGGCGGGCGTGCCATAAGCATGGGAAGGCAGTGGGGTGCTGCAGGAGGAGCTGCTGGGGGTCAGGAGCTCCATAGCATCCATGGAGTCTTCATTCTGACTGTCCTCCTGCCTGTCTTCATCTTCATCCTTGTAGCAGAGCTTTTTTTGGTGTTTGATCAGGTCAAAGATGCGCTGGAAGACCAAGCTGCACTTCTTGCACTGGTAGTTCAGGTTGCTCGTTCGGATGTACCGGTCGTTTGTCAGCTCCCGTCGCTCCCCATCTTTGCCTTCCCCCTGATTCTCATAATTCTTTCTGGCTTTCTGGCGAGCATTCTGAAACCATACCACGATCACCCGGGTTGGGAGACTCAGCAGGTTGGAAAGCTGTTCAAATTCATCATCCTTTGGATAAGCGTTGGCATCAAAGAAGTCCTGCAGCACCCGAAGCTGGTAGTCTGTGAAGCGAGTTCGGGAGGATCTCTTGCTTCCCCAGTACTCCTGTTTCTGAGGCTCTGGAGAAGATGGCCGGGAGTCCATTTTCAAGTCCTCCAGGCTGGTGATTGGAGGGTTGCTGAAGTTGTATGGCGAGTCCTTGTTGCGCTGGCGCTCTTTGAAAAGCGTATTACGAAACCAATGTTTGATCACCTTCTGTGGCAAGCCAGATTTCTCTGCCATCTCCTTGATCTGCTCCTCACTTGGGGAATTGTTGATGTCAAAATACTGCCTTAAGACCCGGAGCTGGTCATCGGTGATTCGTGTCCGTGGTCTTTTGTTCTGCTGCTGCTGCTGTTGCAAAAGGCCGGGGTTGAGTTGATGCTGGTACAGCTGGGCCAGTTCTGCTGGTAAAGGGTCAACAGGGGCAAGCTGGGGTGGTAACTGGGCCGGCAGGGCTTGTAAAGGCATGCTTGGCATTATGAGTGGTGAAAAGAGAGGTAGCTCCATGGGCATAGGGAGCTGCGTGAGGGGCAAGGAAGGCTGGGCAGGTGTGATGGAGGGAGAGGTCATGGGTGGGGCTGAGACCTGCAGGGTGGGTGTGGAAGGTGGCTGAGGAGGGGCAGCAGGCACAGGAGGGGGGGCAGGAGGGGGCGGTGGGGCCGGCTCAGGTGTCGGTGGCCGCAATGGGTAGAGTTGGTCATAGTGCTCTCGGTACTGTTGGGCAAACCTTTCCAGCTGCTGGAAGGGGAGATAATGCTGGTGGACGTGTTCCTGGTGGGTCTTCAGGATGAGCACATTGGAGAAGAACTTGCAGCAGGACTCGCATTCCAGCCTCTCCAGGATGTCAGCCTGCTCAGCTCTCCCGGCCAATTTCTGCTGGTTCTCGTTATACTGAATGACCAATTCAAACCCAAAGTTCTCCAGCAAAGCTTTGGTGGCATTCCCACGAGCATCTGCAGCAATGCGAGGAGGGAGCCAGAGTGCCTCCCCAGGGCTGCTTCCAGCTGATTCCAAGGCCCCTGCTACGTCAGCCTTTTTTTGGGCCTTGCTGGCCTCAGGCGGGGGCTCTTGGCAGACAGGGTTTCTGCCGCCCTTCTCTGCCATCTCCTGCTCCCGCTGGGCCTCCTTTTCCTTCCCCACAGACTTGGCCTTCTTGTCTGGGAGCAGGCTTGGCGGGAGGAGCACGCAAGGAGGCTGGGTCAGCGGAAGCTGCTGCTGCTGCATCTGTGGGTGGCTTGGCTGTGGAAGCTGGGCTTTCAGATCCTCCAGCAGGCCTGGCCCACTCCCTGCCAGCATCAGGGTGCCATTGGCCATTGGCAAGCTCATCTCGGTGTTCAGCTGCAACTCAGCGCTGGGGAGATAGAAGGGGAAAAATAGCTGCTGCTGCTGCTGCTGCTGCTGCTGCTGCTGCTGCTGCTGCTGCTGCTGCAGGAGGGCCTCTGGGGCCATGGGGAAGTGAGGCAAGAGCGCAGGGCTGAAAAGCTGAGACTGCAGAAGTGCCAGTGGCTGCTGCTGGAGCTCTTGCTGCAGCTTGGCCTGCACCAAAGAATGTGATGGTGGGGGCAGTGGCTGGCGGCATGCAAGTGCATCTCCTGGCTTCTTACAATTGGCTTCTTTAGATTCTGAAGGGCTCAAGGGGGCTGTGGATGGGTGGCCAGTACTGATGGGGAGGTTCAGAGGAGGCTGCCCTGTGGTATCACAAGAGGCCTGGTTGAGAAGGGTAGGAGCAGAGCCAGTGCTACCTGTGCTTATGTTGCTCTGGGCGGCGGGGGAGGAGGAGGCGAGGCTCATGGTACTGACACCCAAGGGGCTGGGCATGGAGGAGCCCAGGGAAGCACTGCTGTGGCCACTGCTGCTGACCGCCTCCAGCTTAGCTGCTCGTGCCTTGGTCTGATGTAGCACAGAGCGCATGTGGATTTCCAGTGTGGAGCTTTGGCTGTAGGCCACGCTGCAGATGCTGCACTTGAAGGGCTTGTGGTCAGGGCTACTGGTCGCCTCAGACTGGCTGGCGGAAGACTCCTGGAGGGCCCTTTTCAGCTTGTGCAGGTGAGAAACAGAATTGTAGTGGACTAGAAGGATGTTCTTCTGTGTGAAGGATTCTTTGCAAACTGTGCACTTATATGGGCGGGCTGGGTCCAGGAATTTTTCTAGAGTGAAGTTTGGGCCCTTCCGGAAGGGAAGAGCTCGTTTGGGTTCTGAGCCAGAATCTTCCTGTAGGGACCCGCAGTCACTTCCTGCAGGGCTCTGCTTGTCTTCCTGGTCACTGCTCTCCTCCTCTTTATCCTCCTCCATCACCATGGTGTGGTCCTCAGGCAATGAAGGGTCATCCAAGGCGAACAGTTCTCCATTGACCAGAAGTCCACTGTACAGCTGGTGGATGTCAGCTTCACTCAGATCCAGGTGGTTGGTCTCCAGGTGCTTCTTAAGGGCCTGAAAAGTGCGGAAGCTCCGTTGGCAAAGGCAGCACATGGTGGCTGCCCGGATGACATGGTACTGGGAGTGCAGCTGAAGCTTTTCAATAGTTTTGAAGGCCAGGCTGCACTGGTTGCAGCGGTACTTGTAGACGTGGCGATCAGAAACAGGAAGCTGTGGCCGCTTGGCATGCGTCTCGCTGAAATGGGTCTGGAGGGCAGAGGAACTTTTGAAGCCCTGGCCACAGCCCTTCTTCCAGCAAAAGAATCCAGCCTCTTCTTTGACACTAGGCTGCTCTGATTCTGCAGGCTTTACTCCACTGCTGCCAAACTCCATGGCCTCTGGTAGCAACTGCAGGCTTTTGCCACCTTCCTCTGAGCTCTCTGTGGAAGTGGAAACAGAGCAAGGACTTGTCAGTGGCATGGCACGGGATTCCCCTACTTGGGTCCTCGCTTTCTCCTAGCCTAAAGTCTTCCCCTTTGAACCCAATTCTCACTCCCTCACCCTGATTTTATCAAGGCTCTCTCTCTCTCTGTGTGTGTGCTTCCCTTCCCTTCCCAATCCCAACCACCTGCCACCTTTGTGACTTTTCCTTCAAACCCATTCTGGAAGGAGCAAGCCAGAGCTGTGGATGCCAACCACATTGCCCAAGGCCACTCTGAGTTTCCACAGTTCATAGGGGCCAAGATCATGTCAAGGGCCCTGCCAGCTCCCTCTCAGGGACACTTTGACAAGAGTTTTCTTTCAGGCCCAGGAAAAAGGGTGACTGACCAGGTTGCTTGAGGGATTCCTCATTTCCATCTTGATCCGCTGCTGCTGCTGCTGCTGAGAGGAACACGTTGCTGGGCAGCAGCATCTCTGGCGTGGTCACCTGTCAAATCCCAAAAGAAAACCAGGAGACAACACTTAAAGCCTTTTGCAAGGCAGGGGGCTTTTCAGCCCCAACAAAGCCCCGGGGTTTTGTTCTTCAGCTGTTTTTTAGACAAAATTCAAGTCGATCAAGCATTTACATTCAGACGTAACGAATGGCACCCGCTCAAAGAAAAGCATTGTTGTTATTTCTCCACTTTGCATGATTCAAACTGAATTTGTAACTGTGTTTTTGCACAATTCTTGGGTAGCCTGTGAGGAAGTGAGGTTGAGTGGCTGAGAATGCAAAAAGTCCTTAACTAAAGCGAGATGTGAAAAAGTACCATAGTCCTGAACAAAGATGGCTGAGCCCTTGTTTTGGGGGTGACAACCCCAAAGGAGCTCAACCGAAGGAGCAAAGTGGGATCCAGCTAAAGAAGGCTGGACTCAGAAGCAAAAGGAACCATGACAACCCCCTTTTGCCCTCTCCCTTCTCCCCACCACTCAGGCCCCGTCCCCAATGAAGACCTTGTTAAGTTAATTGCCATGTTCTAACCCATTTCCTGGAGCACACTCTGAATGCGCACACACCCACTCAAGGGGCCTCCTCCCTCACAGCCACAAGCCCATACTGTGGCTGGGGAGAAGCTGCTCCAAGCTCAGGATTAGAAGATCTTCCTCCCCAGGATCTCTTAGGCTGGAAAAAAGAAAGTTCACTTGATGTGTGATGCTCTTGGAAAGCTGAATCTCCAGGTCATCCACTAGAATGGCTGCCAAAAGCTCCAAAAGAGGCCCATATCTTCAAGAACCAAGATTCTGCTGGTGGCCTTACTGCCCCAATATACAGCAACTTCTTTCGCAGGCAGGCAGGGAAGGAGCCACGGACCAAGGGTGCTCCGGGCCTCTTGAGGTGCATGGACAAAACTGCCGTGACAACCAGAAGTAGGAAATGGGGATGGGGTGAAGAGACTGTTGCTGAATGTCTCCAGCACTGTGCTGACTGCTATGGGTGGCAGAAGTGCTTCTGAAGGAGCAGCAGTGCCAGGGGAAATGACAACCACCTGGGGCTTCGTTTTGGAAACCTAGGAAATAGGCCAGGTGTCCTGGGTGCCTTCCTTTTCTCAGGCCGCCTCCTCGAGAGAGTGCAAGGAAAGGAGCAGCCCGGACAGCTGGCTGGCCCAAGTGTCTCTGCAGCCTTTGGCCCGCCAAGCCCCAGCCCAGGAGAAGGCCTTTCCCAGGAACCCAGAGGCAAGGATGACCTGAGGAAGGGGACCAAACTCTGGGGCTGCTGGGTCCCACCAGCAGTGCTCTCAAACTCTTTTCCAAGCCCTTTTTCCAGCCAAGTCTGGTCTTTTGCCAGACAGATGCCCAGCACAGTGGATCTGTAATTGTTTTCATGCACGTTAATTAGGGAAATGCAGGTGGCTACAAATAACGATGGAAAGAGAGGCCTTTGCAGTTGAAAGACTGAAGTAAGCCAAGTAAGAAAGAGAGAAAATACTAATTCATGCGGCCTCCCCTTGTCTTGCGGTGCCTTTAACCATAATTCCTGATTAGGATTCTAAAAGGCAATAAGCGAGATTCTTTGTCTGCCCCCACTTTCCATCAATTAATTTCTCCTGAAATATTAACTGGCAGCCCAACCACTGCACTGTGCTGGGCTTCTCATCCCCATTGGCTCTTTTCTGCAGGGGGCAAAGGCAAAAAAGCCCCCCCTCCCAGGGGCATCTTCATTCCAGGTCTCTCAGATCCCCATCTGGCTCATCTGACTTAGGGTTACTCAAGATTCTTGGGATCCTCCTTCTCTCTCTCTCTCTCTCTCTCTCTCTCTCTCTCTCTCTCTCTCACACACACACACACACACACACACACACACACACACACACAGAGAGAGAGAGAGAGACATCCATTCCCACCCCCACAACTAACCAGGCCCCCCCAGGAGCACCCACCACCTCCTTTAAAAGGGGACTCTCTCAGTTTCCTACCTCCTCTTGGAATATAATTGGCCCCAAATAAATTCTGCAGCCTGGTGGGGGGAGGGTTTTTCCTATGGGGAGCCAGCCAAAGAAGGCAATTTCCATCACAAAGACCCGAGGCAGGGCCAGCCGGCCAGCGGCCAGAAAGGGAAAAAGCTTTATTAGGCACACCATCAAGGTCGCTTCTAATTTGGGCCACCTAATTGGCCAACATGTCTCCAAATTAATGATGGCCGATTATTTTCATTACCTTCTTCCAAATGGGGAAGGAGAGCCACCGACCGTGGGGAATGGGGCTGGGAAGTCACAGGACAGCTGACGGGAGCTGCAAACAATGGGAGCAGGGAAGAGGCAAGGGAGAGAAAGGAGAGGGCACCCCACCCCAGGATCTTCTGGCCAAGCCTCCATCTGCTCCCTGCACAGTGGAGGAGGGGGGCTACCCAGCTGTAGGAAAGCAGGGCTGGCCTGACCCAAACAAGGCCAGTCCCCAGTCCTGCAGCCAAACGGGGGCACTGGAGCCTTTGGTCCGCATGACCTGAATACCCTCAGTCAGTATGCTCCCCCCTATCTTCCCACCAGGCTGTTTACGGAGAGTTTCTTGGGTTAAGTGGAATCTTGTTTCCAGCAGCCAGGAGGGTGGCCTTCCGCCACAACCTGAAGGGAAAGCCCAAGCTGAGTGGAGACACAGGCCCACTGCAGCCAGCTGCGCCTTCCTCTTTTTGGGCAGCAGCAGCAGCAGCCCAGGCCTCCAAGGTCAGCCCCAGCCCTTCGTCCAGTGCCAAATTGCCTTTGTAATCCAGCAGTTGAGATTGCTGGCAGCCGAGGAGGTGTCCTTCCCCAGCAGCATGGGGGCAAGGACATTCTCATGGGAAGGGGCTACCTCACCCATTCTCTCCTTGAGCTCTGTCCTCCACTGCTGGCAAATGCTGCAGCCAAAATGCCTCTCACCTCAAGGAGGCTACCCTGGGCACCATTCTCAGCATGAGAGTCCTCTCAGGAAAGTGAGGAAGAGAGTCTCCCAAGTCAGGAGTGGCACCCCTTGGAAAGAGCCCCATCAGGGTCAACGTCCAAGAGGTGACAAGTTAGAGAAGCCCAGGGCTTTGCAGATTGTTTGAGCAGGGAGCAAACAATCTGGGGGCAAAAGAAGGCCAAAAGGAGGCTGCAGAGAAGGTCATGGCTCTACATGGCAGATACTGTGCCTCCATGGCAGCTGGAGGAGGTCTCCCAGTTCCACACCGGGACAGGCTGCAGAAGGCTGGCAGGGTCTTCAGGCCCCTCCAGAGCCCTCAGGCTGCCCAGGCTGCCCTTCCCTCTCTTCCCACAGCCCCTTCTTCTCTTGACCCACTAACATGCTTGGCTGGATGCTTTGAACCAGTCCTGCTGTGGAGGGGTATAAAAGCCCTCCCCCAGGAACTTACCGTCAAGAGGAGTTTTTCCACACAGTCAGGAGACACACTGTGCAGGTGGGTGAGATGCAGCTGGAGATGCAGCTTGTTGCTGAGCAGGTCCTGACAGAGGGGGCACCTGAGCATCGGCTGAATGGAGTGCTGGGTCATGGCATGTACCCGCAGCCGGTTGACATCTGTGTTGCTGTACTTACAGTAGGGGCAGTGGTACATCTGGGGGCAAAAGAAAGCAGATGCTTGCAGGGGTCGAAAGGTGGCCAGATGGCAGTATGGCGTGCCCCACCAGCCCATCGTCACACCTGGCCAACTTTTCTCAGGACACGCTCTCCCTCTCATGCTCTGCATGCTGGCGATGGGCTGCCTGGAGACCCAAAGGCAGATCATTCCTAGTTTAATGCAAGCGCAAGGTGAGGCTTCTTAGGTGCCAGCGCCACCCCGGCATCTCACCTGCTCAAGCTTCGCCTCGTCAGATGGCATGGGCCATTTAGGGACAGGTGACGCCAGGTGTCTTGAAAATGAAGTGTGCTTGGAGGGAAGTGGGGGGTCTGCTGGCTCCTTCTCAGCTTTTGGACCTTGATCTGCCAAAGAGAGAAAGACATCACTCCAAGAATACAGGATCTGGTGGCCTCAGTGGGCAGGGGGGAAAGCCTGGAGTGGCCTCAGTCCAAAGCACCCCTCCTTCACTGACTTCCTCCCACTTCAGCCTCAGCCAAAGGTCTGTTGTCACCTGCAAGGTGACATGATAAGTAGTAGTTGGGATTGAAACTGCTGCCAGCCTCCCCACTCAGCTGGGCCTGAGGATCCTCTGCCTATGGCCAAAAGCCAGACCGAGCGCACCTTTCCCCATTCGGGCTCCCATAAGTGGTGCCTCTGCATACAGAAGGACCCAGGCTGTGCCCATCCAGTGAACCGGCACAGCCTCACCCACTGGGTGCCCAGGTCACTGGAAGGCTGCCCCCTCCTGCCCCCTTCTCTCAACCACCCATCCTTTGCTGCCTCTGCCATGCTGGTGGTAGGGAGGGGGCTGAAAATTAAAAGGGAGAAAGAGATGGCATTCCTAGACTTTCAGGGCTGCTCTAGGAATTTTTCTCTGTACTGGCAGCAGGAAGTTGGCCAGGAGGGATTTACTTTAGCTCCAAACAGCCCTGGGGTTGCATATTTATAAAACCGCCTCTAAGCCCAATTCAGACCAAGTCATGGTCTCTGTGTCCCAGAATTGCGTATGTGGAACGAATAGGGGGAGACGTTGCAAAGGCCTCTCTGCTGATCTGCAGCCTTCTCCTTTGTGCTTCCCTCATCCCTGCTCAATGCAACAATACCCCGTCTTTGTGCCACATCACTGCTGGCTCCAAGCAGGCAAAACACGTGCGTGTGTGTGTGTGTGTGTGTGTGTGTGTGTGTGTGTGTGAGAACACAAGGGAGGGATACGTTCTCCCTCAGGAAGAATCCCTTCAGCTTCATACTAGCAGTTTGATAGACAGATAAAGCAGCATTCAAATTCACCTGACACCCCACAGGAATTTGCGTTCGTCTTGGAAACATGAGAGACAAGATGGCGGGGGGGGGGGAGAGAGCGAGAGAGAGCGAGAGAGAGGAGAGAGAGAGAGAGAACACCCTGTGGGTGCTTGCGAACGTATATGGAGCAGCAGGACCAGCAAAGCAGAAGCCTCTGCCCACCCTCCTCACCTGCCCACTTGACCTGGTCCTGGTCAGCCGTGCTCTCCATTTCTTTGGGTGGCTCATCAGGGTGCCTTGCACCAAGAGACTCGCCAGGTCCTTCCGCATCTCCAATCAGCTCCTCTGGAAGGGACGAGAGAGGGAGACCCGCCCTGAGGCCTCCTGCAGCAGGCTCAGTTGCCACTCCAGCCGTGCTCAGAGCCAGAGGAGGTCCTCCAAGGAGCCTCAGCCTTTCTCAACTTCTGGGGGCCCAGCAGTCAGCTTCCCATGCTCCCCAGACCTCAAGAAATGAAATGGCCTCTTGGGCAGAGAGAACCACTGAGGATTAAAATCCAGCCTTCTGCACCTTCTCCTAAATCCCTGATGAGGCACCTGAATCGCAGCTTCAGCTAACAGACCAACCTACATTTCCTGAAAGGGAAGTGGGGAGAAGCCCCTGCACTAAGAGACAGAAGTAAAGAAACACAATCAGCAAGAGTTAGTGGAGTGGGGGGAGGAAGGGGGAAGATAGGACTTACTTCTTGGCCACAAAACCATGAAGTCAGAAAAGCTGATAATCTCAGACACAGGCTCTATAGAAACTCAACAGGCCTTTCCAGGATATTAAAAGCAAAAGAAGGGGTGAAAGGCCACAAGGTTTGCTGTGACCCAAGACTCTAAAAGGGATTTTCTTCAGGACGTTAGAAAGGGAGGTGAGAACCCCAAAACAGAAGGTGAAGTGAGACAGAATGTGAACCCGGCACGGCCAACAAGGCTTCCTCTTTTCCAAGGAGAGAAGGGAGGGAGCAGCCCTAGGCCCCAAGGAAACGAAGCACAACCACGGCCATGTTCAGGGCAGAAGCGAGCCATCTTGAACCAGTTCAGTCCAAGCAACCCAGTTGGTAAGAAACAAGTACAAGGAGCCCCATGGGAAAGGCTGCAGCTGAAGACTCCAGAAAACAACAACCCCCATCCTGATTCTGCTGCTCTGCAGAAATGGGTCACCCATCAGAAATGGGTCACCACTCTCATCGCCATGGCAGATTCTGCAGCAAGGAGTACAATCCAGGAAGTGCAGCAGCCAACTTCTCTCCCTCCCCTGCCCAATAGCCCCATCAGCACAGGGGCAGGGGCTAGATTGGCAGACTCCCCCCCTCCATCTTAACTAACAGCAGCCCCAGACCAGCCTTTCCGTCTCTGAGGTTTGAGAGACTCGGCTGGAGGGGGCTGCTGAGGCTCTGCAGCTCCTCATGGACATCACCCCTTCCCTGGGAGCAAAGAGCTGCTAGCCTGGGGCAGAGGAAATCAAGGAGAACTGCCCCAAAGTCTTGAGGTTTATCCTCAACAAGATGAAGTGAAACAGCTCATTAGGATGCTTAAAAGCCATAAAACCATGAATGTGGATGCCAATTTAAAAAGGGGAGGGGAGGAGTTAATAAACTGGATAGTCTTTGCACATTCTCTTCTCCATGCCCTTGTTGGACTGGCTGCCCCATCAGGTCTCAGCGGAAGCAGCAGCAAAGCTGAGCACTTCAGGAGAGGAGAAAGGGAAGTCTGCAGATAGCAGGAATTCGGCCATGCAAAAGGCCTGCTTTGGTGAGTTCTCCATGTGCCTGCAGAATCATGTGGCACCTTAGACACCCACATTCATGACGGCATAAGCTTTTGTGAACTGCAGAACAGAGCAATGCATCTTAAAGAGACAACTGGGGCCAAGAAGTCTTTTTCTAAACTGGCCATAAACCTCAGTACACCAGGAGCTCAAATAAAGGCCATATTGAGGATCTGAAGATCCATTTCCCCTCCAAAATTAGAATAATAATGAGAAGCAGAGCTTAGAGATCCATTAGGGATTACTAAATTCCAATCAGCCCACTGTATTCTAGGGTGCTGCTCTCAGGGCCTCAACAAATATGGGGAAATTGGCATCAGAGCATCAGTAAAGCCACTCTTTGCTTTCAGGCTGCCTGCCTGAGGAATTTCACTGTGAGTGAATTATTGGAGACAGTCTCAAGAAAGGGCACCTCCAGGCCGTAAACCTAAGCGCACAGAGTGGACTCATATTTCTATGCAGGAAAACTTGCTCTACATCTCCTGCCCTTCCTCCTGGCAGACATCCAGATTTTAGGTAGCAAACCCAATTCTCACTCACTCCCACTCAGAGTCTCTCTCTGGGATTCATGCCTCATAGATGTTTGCTTAACAAAATGACAGTCCTTACCAACATGGTCAGGCTGATGTGGCTGTGGGAGGCGAGGGGGAGGGTTAAAGTAGGAAGAGGAAAGTGGAGGGCTGCGCTGGCTCCCCACACCCCCTGCATCCCATTCCAGGAGATTCAACAGCCGAGAAACATGAGCTGTCACAAACCACAATCAAACTGGGTCTGAAATATTTAGCAGTGGCTTGGAAAATGCAATGGTGCAACTCTGACAGGCGAGATGGGTACAGACACCATTTTCCATTATAATGGAAATATCTAGCCTGTTCTGAATATGTATAACCCAGAAAAATGTATTGATTTTTCTTTCAGCATTTAAAAAAAATTGAAATACCCCTCAGCTGTCAAAAGCCTTTTGTTAAAAGCTCATCTTCCTGGAATGAGGTTTACCAGAAACAAGTTTTAATTGTGCACAGACTGCTTCTTCGAAACACAGAGCCTTCTCCCATCCCATCTCACCAGAAACAACCCTCCCTCCATCCCTCCCTCGGCCAGGGGAAGGGGCAGATCCAGCGCAGAGTGGCTGGAAACTGGCTGGCCGAGCTCAGGAGACTCGGATCCAAACCTTCACCAATCCTCTTGGCCACCTTGAAGGGCAGGGCAGGGCAGGGCAAGCCCCGTGATGGCCACCCTTTCCCATGGACCTGCAGAAGGTGTGGAGAAAAAAAACAGAGCCTGAGTGTGCACAAGGAAAGGGAGATCCGCATGACCAAGTTTCCCCCTTTTCTCCCAAGATGCCAGGAGCTTCTCTGCAAGGACTTAAGAAAGGCCATCAGTTCCCTGGTAAGCACAGGAATCCTTGGTTACTGTGCACCGTGGAGGAGGAGGAGCCTTCTCCTCCCACCCACCCCCCACTTATCTTTTGGAGATGTGATATTTTGCATTCGAGCCCCAGCCTCCCCTGGGGCCTCAGGCAAGGGATTATTTCTACCTCTCTTCTCTTCTTTCGTCTCCTCTCCAAACTGGCCGGACTCCTGTCTGTGGCATCTGCATCTACAGCAGCCTGTGGCTTTGTTTTCTTCCGCCCATCTTCTCCTCCTCTCCCTCACTTTCCTGGGTTTTTCATGTCAGGCTCTAGTATCAGGGGAGGAAGAACAATGCCCTGACCCACCACCTTGCCTAACTACCCTTTAAGAGGCCATCAAAGCCCCTTCTGATAATTAGCCCACAGAAACATTTCAACCTGAAGCAAGCATCCCCTAACAGACACCCCTCCCCAATGCTTTCCTGGAAAGCTTCAAAAGCCCAACAAAGCTGGATACCAAAGAACAAGCTACTCTCCAAGAGGGAGGATATCACTAAGAAGGCCCCACCACGGGGCCCCTAGAGGTGGCATTAGCAAACTTTCTCCCAGCTCTTACTGGTCAAGCAGACCCAGCCTGGAGCAGGCGCTCTGAAAGACCCAGGGCCATGGAGGCTGCAAAGGAGACAGTCGGCACCTTGATTTGTTATAGGAGTGAACCTACAGGATCCTAGGATCCAAACAAGCTAGGCTGACTCCTGTCGCATCAACTGAAGCTTCCAGATAACTCTTCAGTCCCACAAACATATGTCCAGCCACAAGGTGACCAGTACATCAATAACACCAAGCAGGTTTCACTTGCCCAGAAGACCACAAATGGCCTGGCTGAGGCCTCCACTTGCTGTGCAGGCAGGAGTCATGAAACCAGGAAGATCCAAACTTCAAGCCAGCAATACCCAAGGGAGCATGAAAACAGACCATCTTTGGGTTCATCTGGATTCAAGTGCATTAACTATTTAGGCACTAGGATATTAGCAGTTGTTAAAATGATCTCATTCTCCACCTGGCATTTGCCTTTTTCACACTAGCTGAGTTGGCATAAAACACAGGTGTCAAACTCGCCATGTCACGTGACGTGTTGCGACGTATCGTGACTTTTTTTGCATTGCCAGAGCTGAGGTGGGCACAGCCTCCGTATGATGCAACCGGCCTGTGGGCCAGCAGTTTGACAGCTGTGGCACAGAAGAAGTTCCACTGAATGAAAGAGAAAGATTTATAAGATACCCACTCACAGCCTCCATTCATTCCATGGCAGCCTGTCCAGAGGAGACAGAGCCGGGAAACATTAACAACTCTGGGCCAATGAAAAACAACTGAGCCCAAACCTGGGAAGGGGGGTGGAGAAGGGACATTTGGGGAAGATTTCTCTCTCTCTCTCTTATATAGGAAAGAGAGGCCAGCCAGGCTCTTCCCTTGCTTTGTCCACATCCTGTAGGCAGGATTTTCACTCTGATGGGCTGCAGCATTCCTGGGCAATCAGGAAGTGGAACATAAAAAGAATGGGGCAACCAGAAGGTGCCTGGACAGCTTCTGCGACTTCCTTTCTTTAGCCCCTTTCTCTACTGACCAGCGGCTCTTAGGCTTCCCAAGAAACCCCATGGGAAAGAAAATCCTGCTTCCCTGAAACCAGAAGGATTGTGCTCCCCTTGTTTCCGGTTGGGGACAGGTTCCTGCAGCACATTTCTAATGCAATGGCTGTGGTGATTTTCTTAAGAAAAAGAAATGTATTCACACCTACACCGAAGCAAGCCACACACCTATTTTTGCTTTTCAGCTAAAACATTCCAAAGTCCCAGGCTCAGCAGCCTGGTTTAGTCTTGCTCTAGCCCAGCTCTTCTAAAGCACGCCAGGCTGTGCTGAGGCCACCAAGGGCTCCTCTCCCTGGAATGCTGTGTATGCAATAAGGCTCCAGAAGAACCTGCGCTTCTCTTGCTGATCTGTTCTAGCAGCCCCACTACTAAAGGGAAGCAATCAGAGGCACAAAGGTGAGGCTGCTGATGGATACACTGGGGCAAATTGCAGGTGTCGAGAGAGGGCCATCTGGCATGCAATCAGCGTTCCATCTTCTTTAAATGGGCTCAAGCCAGATGGTAGCCAACTCAGAGCCTTCCTCGTGCAGGGAGG